GTCTGGCTATATGTAAGCGGGTAGCGCTCCTTAAAAAATGTATGTATTTGGACTTTTAGGGAATGGTCTGAGGAGACACTGTTTATGGTCTGAGGAGACCCTTTGATTTATTAACAGAATTTGTGGTGTTTTCGGAGTTCTTTTTATTGTCATGTGACAGATTATGACAGATTCAGGGTCCTCGACTGTTAATTCTCTTGGCCCACGTTCTGTGGGTGGTGGTGCCATTTTTCCCACCAACTCATCAGAAAATCCAATACTTCAAATCACCACAGTGAAGTTGGATGGTTCCAAATATTTGATTTGGGCACAGTCTGCCAAGATGTTCATTGGTGGCAAAGGCAAGATTGGCTATATTACTAGTTCTGAGAAAGAGCCAGTTGAGTCAGAGAAGGCATATCCACAGTGGTTTGCAGATAACGCTATGGTTATGCCTTGGCTAGTCAATTCGATGCAACCAAACATAGCTTTTGGCTATATGTTTATGAAGACTGCTAAGCAGATTTGGGATTCAATTCAACGCACTTATTCTCAGAGGCAGAATAATGCACAAATTTTCCAGCTGGGGCGAGATATCACCAGGATTTCTCAGGGTGACTTGACAATTTGAGGTTACATCGCCAAGCTTCATGCTATTTGGGAGGAGATGTTATATTATGATTCCTTCCACTCTTGGAAGGATCCAGATGATGTAATTTTATATGCAGGAATTGTGGAGAAGAATCGAGTGTTTCAGTTTCTTGCCGGGTTGAACGACGAGTTTGAGTATGCTCGTGTTCATTTATTAGGCTTATCTTCATTCCCTACTCTTGAGGATGCATATTCCTATGTGTTGTCAGATGAGAGCTGCCGGACTCATCCATTAGGTGTTGCTTCTGTTGATCGTTCTGCTATGGCAGTTTAGATTCCCAACCTTTCAGGAACTTCACCATCCCAGTCAGTTCAGAACACTACCACCGGTCCTCCTCTGGGACGACAACGTGGACGGTGTGACCATTGCGGAAAAATTGGTCACATCAAATCTCGTTGTTATGCTCTACATGGACGTCCACCGCAACAGAACAACGGCCTCGATCCTCTGCACATTCTGTTACATAACCAGTCTCGTTGTCAACTCCTGACAACCCTGCCTCTACATCTTCTACTACAGTTACCTTGACTCAAGCTGGATTTGGACAAGTTCAAGCAATTCTTCAACCAAATGGAGGCATCATCTCAGCCAACCTCCACTTATGCCCACTCAGGTACTATTGCGTCTGCACATAGCGTATCTACATCTTCAACACAATAGATCATTGATTCTGGTGCTTCAGACAATATGACCGGTATGTCCTCACTCTTCCAATCTTACAGTATCTGCTCTGGCCAACGCAAGGTCCGCCTTGCGAATGGCTCTCCATCTTCCATTGCTAGGAAGGGTCACATATCAATTACTCCTTCATTAACTTTGTCAAATACACTTCATGTTCCAAAGTTGACTACAAATCTTATTTCTGTTAGTAGCGTTACCAAACAATTAAATTGTAGTGTAACGTTCTTTCCCTCTCATTGTATTTTTCAGGATCTGGTGTCAAAACGGACGATTGGCAGTGGGCGTGAAGTGGACGGTTTATACCTGTTGGATGCTCCTTTGTCACCTCAAGCACATTCAGCTTCATTTTCTAATATTGTTTCATCTAATAAAGCCCAGCTTATGCGTTGGCACATGCGTTTAGGACATATTTCTTTTGGTTATTTGAAACATTTATTTCCTTATTTATCCTGTGAAACATGTCATATAGCTAAACATGTTCGTTCCAATTATCCTGCTAGTAGTAATAAATCTGCTTTAACACCTTTTGATCTTGTTCATTCAGATGTGTGGGGTCCTTGCCCAGTTACTTCTATTCTTGGATTTCGATATTTCGTATTGTTCATTGATGATCATAGTCGTGTTACTTGGGTTTATCTTATGAAAACCAAAAATGAGGTATACACCATTTTTAAAAATTTTATGACAATGGTTCAGATTCAATATGGTCGTACCATTAAAAAATTCCGATCTGACCAAGGTACAGAGTACATTTATGGGGAGGTACAACGGTTATGTACAGAATTTGGGATTGAGCATCAGTTGGCTAATGTTAAAACTCCTCAACAGAATGGTCGTTCTAAGAGAAAGAATCGCCACATCTTTAACTTAGCCAAAGCAATCTGCATTGGCATGAATGTTCCCCAATCATTTTGGGGAGATGCAGTTCTTACCGCTGTTTACATCATTAATAGGACTCCTTCCAGGATTCTTAACTTTGCAGCCCCTCTCAATCTTACATCCCAATTCATCTCTATTTTTGATTCCTCCGCGAGTCTTCGGGTGTGTGTGCTTTGTTCAGCAGTTAGGGCAAACTCGTACAAAGCTTGACCCCAAGGCTTTGAAGTGTGTGTTTTTGGGCTATTCTCACTCTCAAAAAGGTTATAGGTGTTACCATCCTCCCAGTCTTCAGCGGTTTATATCCATGGATGTTTCTTTCTTTGAGCATACACCATACTATAGTGGCTCAGTTGGTTCTCAGAGTGAATGGTTCCCATTGAATATAATGGATGATCACCTTCTTCCGTCTTCAACTCCTCTACCATTACCTGTTTCTTCTTCTATAATTCTTCCTCATGATACCCCTCCAGCAGGGGGAATTGTTCCTTTTTCACAGGTTTATAGTCGGAGACAATAGGTACAAGCTTCAACTCCCACGATCGACTGCCTTGTTCCTTCGGCACCGGCTCCGCCTTCTCAAGCTATTGTTTAGCTTGATGATCGCCCCATTGCTCTTCGAAAGGATAAACGTTCTTGTACTTACCCTATTTCTAATTTTGTTTCTGATTATGCTCTCTAACCCTCCTATCGGAGTTTTCTTGTTTCTGTTGCCTCGGTTCCTGTTCCTTCCAGTGTTGCAGATGCACTAGCACAACCTCAATGGCGTGATGCTATGACAGAAGAACTACAAGCACTTGAGAAAAATCAGACTTGGGACATGGTTCCGCTTCCTATTAGACGAAAGGTTGTGGGTTGTCGTTAGGTGTTTACAATTAAGCATAATCCAGATGGGTCAGTTGCTCGTTACAAGGCCCAATTGGTTGTCAAGGGTTATGCTCAGACTTATGGCATAGATTATCAAGAGACTTTTGCCCCTATTGCCAAGATGAATACCATCCGTGTATTATTTTCCGTTGCTGCAATTCGATCTTGGCCTTTATTTCAATTAGATGTCAAGAATGCCTTTCTTAATGGTGATTTGCAGGAGGAGGTGTACATGGTTCCTCCTCCAGGCTTTCGTTCTCCTGCTCATTTTGGTATGGTATGTCGTCTTCGTCGTTCTCTATATGGCCTCAAGCAGTCTCCTCGAGCTTGGTCTGATCGCTTTGGCACTGCTATGCTCAACTTTGGTTTCCATCAAAGTGCAGCTAATCATACCTTGTTTTTACGTCATTCAGGCGGTAAGACAGTTGCTCTCATTGTGTATGTCGACGATATTATTCTTACCGGCAATGATACTACCGGAATTAATGAGGTTAAGAGCTATCTTGGCTGTCAGTTTGAGATTAAGGATCCCTACGGTACTTCTTGGGCATTGAGGTGGCTCGCTCCAAGATTGGCATTTTCATCACTCAACGCAAGTATGTTCTTGACTTGCTTTCTGCTTCTGGTCAGCTTGGCGCTCGTCCTGCTGATACTCCGATTGAGCAGAATCATCGGTTGGCTGATTCTGAGGGGGAGTTGTTGTCAGATATTGGTCAGTATCAACGACTTGTGGGGAAGCTCATCTATTTATCCATGACTCGACCTGACATTGCTTATGCCATGAGTGTCGTGAGTCAATTCATGCACTCTCCTCGTGCCCCACACCTTGATGCCACTATTCGGATTCTTCGCTACTTAAAAGGGTGTCCAAGCCATGGTATTTTGTTTGCTAATCATGGTCACTTACGTGTTGAGGCTTGGACAGATGCTGATCATGCAGGATCAATTTCAGATATGAGGTCTACTTTAGGTTATTGTACCACTATTGGTGGTAACTTGGTTACTTGGCGCAGTAAGAAGCAGGATGTTGTCTATCGATCTAGTGCAGAGGCAGAGTATAGGGCTATGGCTCTTGGGGTAGGTGAGTTGCTTTGGCTAAAAGCCTTGATGACAGACTTGTGCCTTCCAGTGTCGCTTCCATTCTCACTCTACTGCGACAACAAGTCTGCCATTAGCATAGCAGCAAATCCCGTTCAGCATGACAGGACTAAGCATATAGAGGTGGACCATCACTTCATTCGAGAAAAGATCATCTCTGGTCAAATTTGCACTCCATTTGTCACAAGCTCTCAGCAGCTTGCAGACATTCTTACAAAGGGCGTCAACAAGATTGTGTTTGAGAATGCATTGTCCAAGTTGGGCGTTTCAGATATCCACGCACCAACTTGAGGGGGAGTGTTAGCATTTATGATACCACGATTTATGGTATAACTTACTATAATAGCAGAGATTTGACTATGCATATAATAGCATATATATGATACCACGATTTATGGTATGACTTACAATAATAGCAGAGATTTGACTATGCTATAGAATATGCCATAGAATCTCCTTTAGAACAAGTTGTGATTTGATTTTGATTTGATTTAGTTTCCTTTCTTGTAATACGAGCATATGCTCATTTTATCTATAAATACTAGAGCTGTGAATGAGTAATTCATCTCATTCAAGCCTTTACGCAATTCTCTCTTTTCTCTTCTTTTTATATATTTCTACTGTATCCTTGGGCCCAAGTAGGAGGACACTCATTTTTTATGCCTAACAGAGAAGAATAAGATCTTGAAAAAACAACTAAGCATGCTCTATAAAAATCTTCTAATAGAACATGTATTTGCTGCTTTCTATGCTTAGCATGAATAAAATCAAACAAATTGCATGAAGACGGGGCATCCAAAAAACTCTTTAAAAAGATAAAGTAGCAAAGAAACCAGATATTAGGTACCTTGTTCATGATTTGAAATATCTTGTTCAACTGGGGGTTCATGAAGTTTTGTTAAGTCCCCTCCATTTGCAACTCTCTCTCGTAATTCTTTAATACATAACTGCTTACAAAGTGCTAAATATAAAAATATGGTAGGTGCATAGTTTTACAAGAAAAAAAATAACAAAAAAAAAAAAAATCATACCGAAAACCATAAATGAAACGTTAAAAAGTCAATTAATTAGCAATCCAAGTGTGCTTAAGTAGTTGCTAGATTCAGATTATACTCATGAAAGTTGTAAAAGATATAACACGCAGGAGTAAATACCACACTTTTCACCTACCCAAAAAAAAAAAAAGATAGAAAAGAAAAGAATATACCACACTTTTCAGGAACTTGGGGGTAATGCATGGAAATAATTTTTAGGGAAAACTCCGTGTCAAGCATGCTTTAGGTTGAGCAGATCATCATGATCATTATTATTATTATTGATCATGATCATGATCATTATTATTATTTAACTAGTTCTAGATTGGAACTTTTATCCTTTACCATTTTTCAGGGAAAAAGTGAAAAAATATAATTCAACTATATAAATGAAACTTGTATTCCATAGAACATATAAGGTCATGCAGATAATTTTTTTATTTTTTATTTTTTTTATAAGTAAGCTAATGCAGATAATTTTAACCAAAATTTTTAAAATAATTAAACCTTGTCATTGTTTCTTCTTTAATTAACATAAAAAATAGGATTTAATTTGTTAAGCAATACCAGAGGTTGAAGTATTGTTCACCTTATCAATCTGGTGTGAAGATTAATAGTTCTGAATAGATCATGGACCAACATAAGTAGCAATATAAGATCTACGAATATGAAAAATGCAAATCAGGCATCTTGCCAACCACAGGGGTTGATGCTTTTACATATTTAAAGCCTTTTTGCTTCCTGTGGTGATCCCGCAGAAAATTAACTTACATAAATGTGCTAACATGGACCAAAATAAAGGTTGTTTTTTGCTACAATACAGAAGATTTGTGAACCTTTTTTAAAAAAAATCTTTTCTCATTTAACCTCTGCCACTTTATGTCCCGTTCAGTTTACTTCATCTACCTTGTCTTTCTTTTTTTCTTTCAGCCTTTCATCGTTATCTAGTAATTTACCAATCACTTGGAGGGTATCTTATTGAACACTAGGTAGAGGTTTGTGCCAAATAGCTAAAAACTAATAGCATAATCAGATTGATGTCTCCAACCACAGAAACATAAAAAATAAAAGGCGAGCCACTACAGGATAATTTCCACATCACACTTGGTCTTCCAATTTGACTCATTTGAGCATTCCAATTTTAATTAAAAATCAAACTATCACTAACACCTAACAAGCTAGCTACATTGTCACAATCAGCCTTTTGATCCATGACAATTAAACTGATTTTCCAAAAATTCTTTTGCCATCCTAATTTTCAATGCCTCTTTAAACCCATCATTGCAAGGAACAAACCTGCATTTATTTCTTTTTCCTGTGTTTAAAAAGAAAACGAGTTGGAGAACTTCTCTCAAGAAAGAGTGTGTTTGCGTAATATCAACTTTTTTATATATAAAAGCCCACTTTTTTAAGAGAACTATTATGATAATTGAAATAAAAGAATTAGAATTGCCAAACAGAAGAATGTTTTACCCTGACACGTTTTGTTGTACCAACTTGTTCAACCTTGTGTACAAACTGTTCGAATGAGTAGTAAGGAAGCAAATGGGAATGCCATTCAGCATATAAGCCAATTAGGTTCCCCAAATCACTAACCTGCAGAAAGTTGGCCAATTTGTTATAAAAGATAGTTGCATTGAATAAAGTTATGCAATTACAGCAGACAAGAATAATAAGCAAGCACAAACATCATTATTAAAATTACAATTAATTCAGAATAATGCAGTGTCTCACGCTCAGATAAGATTCTGTCAACCAAAACAACAGGTCCAGGTGGACTGGTGAAGAACAAAGTATGGTTTGCAAGTTTCTGCTACCTGATGCATTTTGAAGCTACATCTACCTTATATGAATTTTATAAGTTTATGAGTTATGACAAATGGTGGCCCGTCTTTACATCATTGGTTATGAGCAGTAACTACACCGGCAGCTGTGAGAAGGCCACACATCTTGACTGCAGTTTTTACTTGATTATCTTTTATCCTGTGTAGAATAAGAATATATTTGAGGCTTTAGAGTTTCTAAATTTTCTATTTATGTTTGGTTTGCTAGTCATTTGCTACATGTTACACAAAAGCTCTTGCAGTTCTTAGTGGACCAAAGACTCATAAAAAAAAAAGTTTTTTGTGGGCCAAATTAGTGGCCATTATTTCCTTGCTACATACTTCTTCAAGTATCGTGCTTTTGTTCACATATGAACACCAAACCAATGACTTTCATAGAAAATAGCCCTTGCTATGATGTTTTCCACTACTTTAATTCTTTTGTACCCTATTTTAATTTTATCCTAAAAATGTTCATATGACCACATTTATCCCCTATGTAAGCGTGTCAACAGCTCACTTTCACTTCAATTTCATTCTTACCCAATCCGGACCTAATTTGGACTCTTTATCAGTTTGGATTAAGTTGGAAGGCCAGTGGAATTGGCATTAAACCAATAGAAAAAGTTGTGCCTCCAATGACATTGAGTTATAGGAAATGCTTTGGTTTATCCTTGAACAGAGTATCCAGAACCGAATAAAAAAGAACACACTATAGAAGTAAAAATTCTGACTCTAACTTGGCTCGCTAAGGTTTGGGTTCTGCTAAAGCTCATTCCAGACTTGGTCGAGTTTTGGCCAACCTTGCTCAAGCTTTAACTCAAACCTTAACAAGAAAACTTGAGCCTAGTTTCACTAAACTTTTTCAAGCATTTTAGGTACCTCTCCACTTTATTTGGCATTTGACAGGTTTCACCAAGTGATCAACATTTTTCATCCCACTTCTTACACTGTGTGCATGCCCATCCTACCAAACAAAATTCATTCACAAAATAGACATGTATTCCACTCTCAAACTCATTCATTCAATTAATGAGCAGCCTCAGTCCTCAAACAAGTTCAAGAAGAGCAAAGATTAGGTCGCCAGGTTCATTTTTAGTCCTAGACTCCACCACAATAGACCCCAATCCACTTAATCAATATTCAGTAAGTCAGGAGACCAAATAATTGAGTACCAAACTGCAACCTACATACTCATGAAGATGTTGTTGACATAATTGTAGCCCCATTTTAATAACGTGCATACTCTCATTTGTTATTTAAGATCCTAAAATCAAGTTAATGTGCATAGAGACAAACAAGGGCAAGTTAATGTTCATAGAGAACCAAAAACATAATTAATCAAGTTGTAATGAATAAAACAAATATTCTAAGCATTGTTACCACTGGAATGCTATAAAAAGCAGGTTGGACTGGTGAAATCTAAATAAAAAAACAACAATAGAAAAGATTAAGCATCTACGGAGAACTGAACTTCAATGCTACGTTTATCCCATTTGCAATACTACAAATAATATTTATGATCCACAGACAGACAAGTGACATATTGACATAGACACAGGCGTCAAACACCACTATAATTTCCAAGGAACTTAGGCTTTTGTGGGAACTAATTTCCTTGGAATCGCAAAAAACGTTGTGCAACTTCAGGTAGGTTCTAGAAACGTAGGGAAAACGATATGTATGTGTGTGTATTTATGTAACCTACATAATCCAAAATCAACAAATAACAGTGTGAATCAAAAACCAACCCCAATATTAAAAAATAAAAAAAAATGGAAATGCGGATCTCGCGAAGATGATGATGTTGGAGAGAAAATGGATATATGGATGATACCTCATGTTGGTGGCCGCGAAACCTGAAAGCGTGAGGAAAATGGCGAAGAACATAACCAAGACCGTCATTGGAGAGAAGAAGGTCTGGTGTGAGCTTGGGCCTTGCTCTCGGGACCTTTTTGGGCTTTTCGGATGCCGGATTCGAAGCACCATTAAAACTGCCACCACTCTTGAAGGAAGACGAAGACGATGCGTTTTTATTAGAATAAATATTAGAAGAAGAAATTTTAGGGTTATCAGTGTTAGCGTTAGGATTTGAAGGGCAATCCCGGGACCAGTGGCCTGGCCGCCCGCACTTGTAACATCCAGTAGGCGCTGCACCGCCGCCGCCGCCGCCACCACCGTTGTTCATTTTCGAATTGTGATCTGATTGATGGGTCCTCCCCTCCGTCCTGTTGACTGCTGGAGTATTTATTTATGATATGATGTTTGTTTACTCTAAAATTTTGGCGGGAATGGGAGGAGGTAAAATTTCGGCTAAGTTAATTTTATACAGGCTACAGCCTCAGGGAATGAATTAAACTGGTGACCGGGTGCAGTGCACGATTGCACGAACAAAGGCGAAGGAGGCGTTCTCCCGGCCAATCTCTTGGATATGGGCCAGGCCTAGACTCCTTCAGGAACAGACTCTGCTAATGGCCCAATCCAATCCAATTGGGTCTAATGTCTGTCTTCCCAATCAATCTAAAAATGGATAATTGAACATGTTTTATTTTATCAAAAGGGCCTTGCCCTAGGCTAGGTGGTATGAGTTCAAGCCCCCAAGCAGGGGAAAATACTGAAATAGGTGTGTGCTGCATATTTTACAACCATTCTGTTCTTCACTTTTTGCAAGATTTAACAATGTTTTTGCTGCATTAAAACAAAAATTCCAGAAAACGTATGGATTAACTTACACATACACACTTTTTTTATGGGCTTGGGTCTAAATATGTTTTTGGACATGATTCATATATAAAAGGTAAATATGTTTTTGGACACGATTCATATATAAAAGGAGGATATAATTAAATCCTTCCTAAAAGAAAAGATGACATGAACACTATACTACGTAGTGCACTATGGTGTACTTGTAGAGCCCTCCTCAAATTTGTTTCGAGTTGGAGATACAATTTGATAATTATAAAAATTACTTGAAGATTACTGTCCACTGTCATCACTTCAGGCACCTTGAAGAGTAACAATCCCAGAGTTCACCAAACCTAATTTGTAGATTTTGGAGTGTAGATTAAAAAAGCCATATCCGCGCTTCAAACAGTTAAATTTAACCATTTGGGGGCATTATGAAAAATGTCACTTTTAACGGACTTCATATACCCTAGCAAACATAATAATATAATATTGTTTCCTCGACAGCAAGTACCAGACAAACTCGAGGAGAGCCATGATTGAGAATAGTCACAACTCATTGAAAAACACCAAAAGAGTACCTCATCTCAAACACTGCACAAGTAGAAATTTTACTAAATTTATAAGACTCATACTTTGAGAAGCTTGTGTCTTAATTGCCTGACTTTAATACATAAGCATAAAGAAAAAGTAGGGGAAAAAAAAAAAAAAACAAACAAACAACCAACCAACCAAACAAACAATGCTTCATAACATCTGAACATCTAAAAAACATTCATTTCTTCTTTTCCAACCTCTCTTCTTTTGCAGGTTAACTCAAGTTTCAAAATTTTGCTATTATATACAAAAAATTGTCTCACCAGTGCGGGCACCCCTCACACTTCTATATCTGAACTACGAAATTAAGTGAGACAGTTATGAATTCACAGACGAATCATAATTCTGGTAAACAATATTAACGGCCCCCCCATCACCCAAAAGATGAGTCAAAAGACCTGCTCTAGTTGCATCCAAGTAACTCATGATCCACTTTAGGATTTGTTTTTCCTGTCCAAAATCCACATTGAACCTGCAAAGAGTTTTCAACTATACACTTTATTATCTGATCGCAATGGAAAATATTCTTGGATGCAACCCTTTTCTTTCAAACAATAAGAGAAAAGGATTCCTTAATTTTTGATGACTCACCACTTGATGATCCGGCTGAGTTTGACAGTTCTCTTGGCCAAATCCACCTCCATTCCGTCCCTTTGGAAAAACTCTCTTGCAGCACGCCTTAGTTCAGCTTCAACCCCTTGTGGAGTAAAGAACCTCACTGTTGGGCTTGATCTTGTCCCATCACAGAGTCCAAAATGAATCAGCGGATTAACTTTTGGAAAGGCCAGCTGGAATTGAAAAGGAAAGTAATAAGAAAATCAGACAGTCCTTGAATGTACACAAGTTTAAACTAATCATTTTGTAATTACGCCTGCTTCTTTTCTTCTTCTTTTTCTTTTTAGTATTTCCCTTCCCTTTCTTTTTTCGGAAGAAAATACAATGCAGAGTAGATCTCGAGGGACATTTCGAAGAAAGTTTCTTTTCTTTCAGAATACGAGTATCTTTCTTGAGAAAAAGACAAAAGTTGAAGAAAAACTATAATTATAATTGAGATAATTTTCAAGCAATGCATATGGGAGGCACATCATATATCCTTTTTATTCTCTTTAATATAACATTGCTCTATGTGTAGTACTAATTTCATTTTAGGTGTTTCAATATATCCTGGACGTTCAGAGTACTCTCAATTCTAAAAGTAAAATTGTGAAACTAATTATGTGATACGTTTTTAGGAATCAGGATCTTTAGCAAAGGAAAGGTTAAATGCGATATAGAAAACGAAAATAAATGTTCGGGCAGTAACAATTATCCCTGGCATTTCAATGTATTGAAATCTTTACATTGCATTTCTATCTCTTTCCGTTGAAATTTGTATTTAGTATGCATTAAAAGGTAAAGTTCTAGCAGATCTTCTGAAGGACATAGTTTTGGGCAGAACTTTATCCATAAAAGATCTTATAGAGGGGACAGTTTTAGGCAAACTTTATCCTTAAAAGCCACTCTTCTAGTTTGAAAGCACCATTAAGGATTGTTTGGAAACCACAAGGAAATCCCAACCCCTTAAAAGGGGGACCAAAAAAAAAAAAAAAGGAGGAAACTCCCGAAGATGAATAAAGTTTTTAAAAAAAAAAATTTAAAAATTTATTTTTTATTCTTTTTTTTTTTTTTTTTTTGTGCAGAATTTTGTTAAGCCAAACACAAGCACCACTAAACTTACAAACACAAAAATGAGAATTTTCTTATACTTTCCAATAAAAATAAGGAGATGACCATGTTCTGCACTAGTGCTTAAAAAGGACGTTAAATGCACATTCAACTGTTACAAGAGAAAAAAATCCAAATTATTACAATTTTGTATAAATTTCAGATGCTTCGTGATAAATGAAGAACAGAGAAAGCAAGATATTTGTAACATCTGATTAGCAAGAAGAATTTTAGGACTTTGAAGTGTTACCATTGCGGAACAGCATAGACAAAAGAGGCACAAGTGCACGGGGGTAAAACAGTTTCTAAGTCAGCAGTGAAATGTTGCAAACAAGTCCAAGTTTGTTAAATATTATAGGTGGCATCATTTAGAGCTAGATATTATCATCCCAACTGTTTACGAGCTTATGATTTAATAGGTCACTTATTCATCTAAAAAACGGAAATGAAAATAAATAAATTACCTCTAAACGCTTGTCACCAGCACCAAAGGGTTTGACTAACGAATAAGGTGGTCTCCTGTTGCTTCTAAGGATTCCATTTTTTATTGTAGTAAGGGAATAGGGATGTCCTCCAACTATGTACTGAAAATCAGAATAGAAGGATTTCCCATCGATGACACCCTCGGGATGTCCTATCCTAATCACAGCATGGATGACCATGGCATTGTATAGATTTAAAAAGAAGGCCAGCTTCTCATCTGCTGAGAGTGCCAACATGTTGACCCTGTGAAGATCTTGTGCCAAATTTATGTATCTGCAATTGTGAATAAAAAGAACAGTTAGAGAAGGTAATAGAAATTAATTACATGAACAAGGTTTATTTGAAGATGCTGACCAAAAGGAAAAAGGAAAAGATCCATATGAAAAAGATCAACCAAATAGCATTATCATAAGATTTTACGTCACCAAGCAGTGTCCACTGTGCACCAATAGAATGGTAAGCCAACCACCTTCAAGCATACAAATGAAGCAAGATGGGTATTCGATTTCCTAGATATAAAAATATTTCTGCGTGCATGTTATCCGTCTTTTCCGAAGAATATGATTATATGGGATAGTATACAAATATTCATCTCGTGCTTACAAGAGTCTGAACCAAGTGTCCACCATCAGAATAAGAGCATTGTGCTTCACAAGAGTCTGAACCAAGTGTCCACCATCAGAATAAGAGCATTTATTATGCCTGTTGTCAGAAGGGACAAGAAAAACACAAGCATGCATATCTCTTCCTTTTTCTGGGGATAGGAACCGCAGTAAATGGAAAGCTTATATTCCAGCCATTAAATATATACTAATTTATAGATTTAGGTCATTTTTATTTTTGTTTATGTTTGTATTAATTTATCACAGAGTTTGTCAGATTTAATATATTTTTCCAAGTATCAGAGTCACGATAATTTTACTAATTTCCAGATTTTCCGGGTCCTAATTGGTCTAGAACAAGGCATGTTCCTACACTCCTTAAATTCAAATTATTCAGCAACATACTCTCATTATTCCAAAGTAGTTGAATTATGAAATTTTAATATTGTGTTTGAGTGCTTCAACTTTTATGCAATGGTGAAGTGTAAAGAATCTGGAAGACATTCCTAGATTTTTCTTGTTCTTTCTCTTTCTCTACTTCTTTTCATCAGTTATTTTCTTGATTGTTCACTGCTCTATTATAGCCTAAAACCTTATAGGACCAACTTCTAATCATTTTTAACCCAATTCTTTTACACACTAGGCTTCAGAACACTCACTGTCCAGAGTTTCCATTACACTATTTTCTGAATTTCTTGCAACCTATCACTTTTAAAATGAGGCAATTTAATCCCTTTCAATCCCCCAAACCTATAACCTTTCTTTCAACCTTTAAAAACTCTAAGCCCCCAGCATTTATTTACCAAAGGCCATAACAAAATCAAATGTTAGCTTTATTTAAAATTCCCTTTTCAGCCCTTGATGGTGCTTGATTAAACTCCCCTAGTTCACTTTTCAGCCCTTGATGGTGCTTGATTAAATTTATAAAAACTTAACCTAGGTCCAATGATCATAGTTTAATTTTGGTCTAACCAAGTTGTTGTGTGCTAAGCTTTGAAGGAAGTGATATAGTGATCGAGTACCAAAAGGACGAAGCAAGGCTAAAAAAACCCATTTTAGGTAGTGAAGTTATTTGCCAATGATATTGATGGGCAGTCCAGGTGGCATTAACTCTTTAGGTCTAAATTCTTGGTTAATCTGATGGTCTCTAAAACTAATTATAGGAAGAGTAAGGGCTACTTTATTCTCAGTTACATAAATATTTGTTCATTGGAACTGTAGCTTTTTATTAAGATTCAGTGACAAAGTCATAGTGGATAGAACTCTTCTTTCCCATGGCATTCTTGAAGCCTAGGGAAAATGCGTATCACACAAAGAAATTCAGCCAGAGGACTCAAATAAAATATCTTGTCATCACTTCGAGTCGTATGCACCAACCTAAGGACATTTACTATTTACTAATTTTGTGGCTTGGCAGAGTGAACTTAGAATTTCATTTCAAGGAGGTTCATTAGTTGATTCCATTCAGAGTTTAAGGTTCCTCCAAATGAATTATTTCCATCAGCCAAATGAATGATTTACATCAGAAGAAATCTTGTATATCCTTGACTGGTGGCCCAGGGACTGAATGAAAGATTGGCTTCAGTATGTCCATTGGTATCAGAGTGATGCTAAATTTCTTAGAGCATGCCTAAAAATCCATTTATGTGTAGAGATTGTAAAACAGAGTCGATAAAATTTGGCCCCATTAATAAAGTGAATAGGAAGAAAAAACTTGCACGTAAGGAGGGTTGGAACTAAGCTTACTTTTTGAGATCTTTAGCATAAATTGTGTAACCACAGGTTTACACCAAAAGGAGGACTAATATAATGAATCGGGTAAATCAAGATTGCACATGTAGATTAAACAAAAAGTTGGTATCCAGCTATTTGTAGTTTGAATATTTGATTTCTAGAATTGACAAAGTGGACTTACTAGGGACACTCCTAGTCCCCAGTATTTTAACTATAAAGAAAGTACGTAAATAACTGCAAAAAGTAAAGAAAAAAAGAGAGGAAAGCTTTGGTATAAAATACATGACATACCATGTTTGTGTATGATTTTGCACAAAATTTTAAAAGAAATATAAAAATAAAAGGACTCATGCAGTTGACATCCGGGTATCTGGGATTATGGCTTTCTTGAGTTTAGAGATTAACAACTGAAAATAAAAACTACGATCACTTTTTCTTTCATACCCATAAAATAGGACAAATTAAGACACTATAGACAACAGATGTTTGAAAGTAACCTTGTAAAGAAAAAGTAAAAGCTACCTCCGAAATTCCTCACTGTTGCTGATGCCTACATAATCAAGATGGAGGCGGTCTTCAGAGGCATAAGACTCGAGTATTGCAGACATTATCTTGGTCAGCCTTTGGCTAACTATAGCAGCGGGATTAGGCTCATTGTCATTTATAGATCCTCGAAAATTGAAGCATCTGGGAATAAAAGGCTCATGCTCTAGGAACCGATAGAAGTGGTTTCCATCCTCAAATTCATTTTCCCTACGCATAAACAATCAAGAAAAGTTATAACAAATTTCATAAAATAAGTTATTTATGTATAGGTTAAAACTATCTTTAAGAATAAAAGTTCTATCTTCAGAACAAGAAAATGTTATTACCCAAATACATGATGGATGAAATGCTTTCTTGCCAGCTGCCTTCCAACCTCGATGGCCTACATTTGTTGTAGTTCACAACACTGTTATTAATGAGGTATATAAAATGGAAGCACAAGATTACTTGAATAGATTTGTATTTTATGAAGCTGGAAGGAATTTCAAAGCAACAAAGTTAAATATAGATATGGAATGGTGCAGCATATATGCGTGCATGTGTGTGTGATAGAAAACAAATATTTTCAAAGAATTTGTACCGAAGCAAATTCAATTTCAAAATTATAAGTTATACAGTTAAAATTCAACTGCCAAATTTAAGTTATTTAGCTATGGTAATGCATTCCGTTTCATGAATTCAAAAAAACAAATCAATTTGATTGCATATTCTATAGCTAGTTCCTATTTGCTAAGGTAATGGAGAAGCCTGGGTTCTTTTTGCTATAACCAGAAATATTTTTGGAGACAGTGAAAAAGTTACCAGTCCACATGGGCAATTTACCTGGTTCAACTGCAGTAAATTTGTTCCCACAAACAATTGCTAAGAAAAAGTTTTCATTACCTAAGAGAAATAACAAGAAACACTCTCTTTAAACTCTACAAAGCACACTACTAGTGGTATCATTTTTGTATCTCAACGATACGACATCTGTGATCCTCAAGAGTTGGGGAGAAAGCAAGAAAACATTAAAATAAATACTTAAATACCCCCTGGTGTTCAAAACACTCTCTTACATTTTTTTTATTTGAGCAGATAAGGATAATTCTTCAACTTTAAGATTGAAATACCTAATATTCCCTTATTACAAAATAAAAAAATAAAATAATTAAAACAACAAAAAATAAAAATAAAATTATAAAAAATAAAAATAAAAAAATAAAAATAAAAAAAAAAACATAAACAAAAACAAAAAATAATAAGGGCATTTAAAAAAAAAAAATTGTTTATTTAGTTTTTTTTATTTATTTTTTTTAAAAAAAATTACTAATTTAAAAATAAAAAAAATAAAAAATAAAAACCTGAAATTCCCTTAAGGGTATTTTGGGATTTTAAAAAAAAAAAATTGGTCAAAATTGTTGATCGGGGACAATTTGCTACAAAATTTCAAAATACAGGGATTTTTATGTACTTTTTAGAAAGGGGGGTGTTTATTGCACAACCACCTACGAAGCACAGATACACCTTAAAGGGCAAATGATCCATGTCAAACGCTATGTGGCCCGACAGATGAAAATTCGTGTTTGAATTTTTTTTTTTTTTTAATGTTCAGACATGATACGGACACGCCGTGGATACGTGTCCAACACACCATGGATATGTGTCCGACAAGCGTGTCCCATGAGGATTTTTTTTTTCTTTTCTTTTTTGGCCATGGCATTCTTAGGTATTTTTAAGAAAGTTTTAGAAAGAATGCTGGGTTGATGTATAAATATGACGAGTTGTTCAATAACTTGTTCATAACATAATTACTTTAAAGTAGTTGTTTACTTGTTTTAGGTTCAAACTCTTGTACGATCATCTTTGACTCTCTCTCTCTCCTCTTCCAACTTTTTTCTTTCTTCTTCTTTGTCCTGCTCTTTTATTTCTTCTTCTTCTTCTTCTTCTTCTTCACAAACCCTAGATACTTCTTTTTTACTTTCACAACAAAATTCCTTTTGTGTCTCTTTTTCCTTTTTCCTCTTATTTCAATAAACTTTTTTCTCTTCTATCAATTCTTGATTTTATTCTTAACAAAACCCTAATTCTTTTTCTAACAAAACCCTAATCCTCTTTGTTTCTTTGGTTTTTTTTTTTTTCCTTTCTTAACCCTCTTTCCATCAATCTTTCTTTTTCCCAGCAAAACAAATTTTTTTTTACATTACTAGGTTGATAAAAAATAATATTACTCTTATTTTCTTAAAGTACCACATCATATATATTTATATAATATTGTATATTTATTATTCGCTCTTTCTACTGTAGGATCAATTATCAAAGGTAAAGTACTCACACACATTTCACAAATTGCCCACTACGGGGCTCGAACCCCTCACCTCCCCTTTAAGGGAGGAGGGGTTATACCATTGGACTAATGACCCATTGGTGAATTATCAAAGAGTTCTTATCCCATATTAGACTTAACTTTCTTCTCAATAATAGGAGAAAATCAACTTTCAGAATTGTCTTTCACTCCTTGCTGGCTTGCTTGTTCCTTATCCTCCTCCCTTCATGAGCTCATGGCGAGGATGACTTGGCAATAGAACAAAATAAATTAACTTGCACATGTTACTGGATACCTCAGGCCAAGGCTCCAGTACAACACTTATATTGATTGGCTGAGTTGGCTTTTAGTAGGCTGAGTTGGCTTTTAGTATATTGCATTTATTTATTCATTTAGTATATTATGCTGTTGTATTACCTCAGAATGTTGTTGACACATCTTGAGTACTGAACTAATAAATGCACAATTGCACACAAATAGAACTATAAGAGTCCTTTATTATTCTTGTTGAAAACTTCAAATTTTTCCATGGAATCTGAAAAACATGACCAAATAATAGAAATGTAAAAACTTGAAAAATCCTAATTCCAAAACTCATGCAGTTAAAAAATGCTATGGCTGAGCACCAGAATGGTGGGAGGGAGCTAACACTAGAAAAAGGCTATGGCTCTCTCCATGATAACATGGGTGTGATGGGACCACCTCAAACAAACATTATGATCACTGGCTTCATTCTTTTCTAAGGCATCATTCAGCTCATTTGTTTGGAAGCTTTCTTACTTTTGTAATAAATGCAATTCAAAAAAGGAGAGCATATCTTTAAAATGATACTACTATTAAAATGGTCCACTTGGTCGACCAGATTGTCCCTAAAGCTGTTTCTGTAGAGACTTAAAAGTTACGGACCCGAGTAATAGACTATTAAAACAACTTTGTTCTTTAAAATCTGAAATTTCTAAGGTGTACCTAAAGTGAGAAAATCAGTATTCAATATCTTTTACGCAGTTCCTGAATAAGTTAATTTGGAGGAAGGTTTATGCTTGATGTTGTTAGAAAAAAAGGTGTCCAAGTAAAACTGAAGTTGAATTCAAATAATATTTTTTTTTAAAAAAGTTATATTTAGTAGTTAGTATAATATTAAGATATATGGCATTAATTTTGTAGATTCTAATTTTTCAGAATTCTAATGAAATTAATGATGTGTGACACAGTGTGCCATGTGATGTAAAACCATTTTTAGTAGTTTTGCCCAAATTTAGCAATTAGGACAAGTTTATATCACAATTTAATTTTTTTTTAAAAAAAACTGCCTAAAAATTTACAAATAAATACCTTGATTTGGTTCGAGGTAAATGCATGAAGCAACATCAGACATAGTATATATAAATTTTATGACGCATAAGTAAAAGAAAAATGCAAAAAAACTTTCATGGAAGCGCTCTCACTATAGGCTCTTCCATCAAGAGTTGAATTGATAGAAGTTTCTCAATTCAAACGGCAGAAAGGGAGCCCTGAGAGTGAGAGTGGTACCATGACAACCAAGAAACCAAATAAAATACTTGAGCTAAAGATGCTTAGAATAACTGGCAATCAAACCTAATCTATCCACCAATTTCCTATTAATTGACAACCAAAGCTGTCCTCCAAACCTAGAAATGGTAGGGAATAACTGGCAATCAACCCTGCTCTATCCCCCATTTTCCTATTAATTCAGCTCATCATCATAATTACTACTAGAATCTAATTACTACATGGTAATGACAGTTCTATACCCGAGCTATCATCTGGTCCACATGGTTGTTATCATTGATGTTGGCTCTAGGGAAAAGGGACCAAAAGATATCCTAAAATATTTCAATATTCCAAAAAAAGGGTAGAATCGTCATTCAAGATCATTTATTTATTTATTTTCTAGTTTGTACAATATACATTTATCTTTTTATATTCAGTCTTTCAATCCAAACACTGATGTTGGTCAACGACTTTTAACGGCTAAGATTTCAAATTTAACCAACTAACGAACCATATCAAACATAATATACTACGTATATAAAATAAATTATAAATTAAGAAGAAAGATATCAGTTACTTCCCAGTCTACGGAATGTAATGGTCTCTCCTCTGTGGATCAACACTGATGGGTTGGGATCATGGGAATGGGTTGAAGTTTAAAAAGAACAGTAATAAGTAAATGAATAGTCAAATTAAAGACATCAATAAACGAACGAGATTAAACAGCCCATTAGAGTGCAAAGTAGTGAAACAGAGTTAGCGAGTGGCGCACGTACCTTCATCCTGGCGCAGTCCAAGTGTTGAATCATGACCTCCACCATCTCACTCCCGGCGAAGCAGTTTTTGACAATCTTCATCTTCATCAGACGGTCCTGAATGGGCATCCTCTGCCTCAAAATCCTAACGATCCCAACCATCTCGTCCGTCCGTTCCTCTTGGGGATCACCACCCCCGCAATCATCATCATCGAAGCCGTACACCGGCTGCGCAGGCGCATCATCCGGACATTTCCTCCCTAACATCTCCTTCAACCTCTGCTCGAACAGCCCACTGTTCCTCATCGAATTCAAGGCCACCAACCCTCCAAACAGCTTCTCGTTGAAGAATATCTGAGGCACCGATGAGCTTCCAGTCCTGTCGATCAACTCTTTCTCCCTCGCAGGATACACGTCGATGTTGATCTCCACGAACCTCAATCCTCTCTCTCTGAAAAATGATCGAACTGCACTGCAATCCCTGCAATTTGACCTCGAGAAGAAGCTGATGCGACCTTTCAGTTCGGCTTCTCCCTTCTCCTCACCATTCTTCAGCTCCACGATCACTTTGAGTCCCGAGAGGTTGAACTCGGTCACATTCGGATACAGCAAATTCGAATCTTTGTTTTCTCGCTCTTTCAGAGACGACAAGCGCTTCGCGATCGCCGCCGAGAAGCTGTTGCTCTTCTCACGGATGAATTTCCCTATCGCCGGCATGTCCATGGAGGATTTATCCGGTAGGGACCGCGATCGATCTATTGGATGAAAATCGGCGTCGTCCGAAATTGGAGAGTTCATCACACCTGGCGGTGCCTCTGGCTTCGGAAGCTGCGAATGAGGACGAATAACTTGTACGTCGCCGTTGTTTTCAACGGCTGTATTTTCACTCGAAACGTCATTTTCGAGAGGATTTTCTTGAATTTCACTTTGTTTTCCGATCATCGGCGGTTCGCTGCTGCGGTCTTCAACGCAAACTTCTCTCTTCTCAAGCTCGATTTCTGAGAATTCCGGAGATGCAATTACGTCACCGGATTCATCCAACGAACAACTCACTTTATTTTTGTGTTCTCCGAAATCATCGCAATTTAAATCAACGGGATATGAGATTTTTTCTTGAGCGTATCTTCTGCAAATCGCCTCCTCCTCCTCCTCCTCTTCGTGAGTAGATTTGAAGTCTCCGTTGAGGATTTTCTCGCCCTTTATTGGACTTCCTCCGGGACATTCTTCTGCTCCGGAAACTGCAAATTCCGATTGAATTTTTCCACCGTTCTGGGGGTTGAGCACAATTTCCTCCGCCCGTTCACCTCCTAGTTTAGTTTTGCTTCCGTCATCGGCGTTAGAAATGAGATTCACGTGGTCTCCTTCCGCGGATACATCCATTTCTCTGGTGGAAACGGAAGTATCTCACAGGAGTTATTTGAAATGCTAAGAATACAAAATCATAAAGAAGAGAGAGACGACAAAAACCCAAACGAAGAAAACAAAGAAATCTGGTTAGAGAGAGAGAGAAAGAACGGAGGAATCGGGGCGGTTATATGGAGATGTGTATACGAGTTGGGAGACTGTTATAGAAGGAAGGTGGAGAAGAAAAGGTCAAAAACGTGTTGGCATATGAATTTGAATATGGAGAGGGTCCCTGTTTTTTCTTGGCTCAGTCAGCAATCAACCGGCGACCTCTACTTCTCTCGCCGGCTTATATACGGACCATACGGTCCCACTTCCCCCTAATTTTAGGCACTAATGTGGAGCCTTTGTTGCCTTGACATAATTACCCTTGCTAAGCTTGCTTGTTTACTAAATTATGGTCATAAACCTGTAACCATAACTGGCTGGCTGAATGAATGGATTCTATCTTAAAATCAGCTTGAAATTTCATAATTGGATTTTCCGTTCATGTTTAAAACCTTTGCTGCGTAGATTTTGTCTCACTTCACTAATCGAGGACTCAAATCATTATTATTATTATTATTATTATTATTTATTTTTTCTTAAAGCAGGATTCAAACTGTTAAATCTTCAAATTTACTCGTCTTACTTTTAAAGCACTTAATTCAAATTGAAAACAAATAAAATTTAATTCAAATTATACAAAGCTTTTGCATAAAAACTCTTTCTTTTCTTCTTCTTGTGTATGTTTTTTTTCATTTTTTCCCACTGGAGAAACAAGAAGTAGTTCTTTGTAACAATTTTTCAGAAGCCTTTGAAAATTGAAAATAATCATTTTTAGAAAATGTTTAAAATTCAAAGTTGTTGGAAATAATCATTTTTAGAAAATGTTTAAAATTCAAAGTTGTTATTTTAAAAGATCAACTCTTTATACAAAAAGCATGCACATCTCGAATTTATTTAAAGTAGATGTTTGTTTCGAATTTAGGTGGCAATTATCCATCAATCTAGATGTCAATGATGTGTGAGCAAGTACTCATATTTTTTTTTTCTCAATACAAATCTAAATTTTGACATCGAATTTTTTAATGAATTGGATTTTTAACTTAGAAACAGGGAACGCCTAAATAAGTGTTCCTACTAAATTTTTAAAAAATCATATTTTTATCTATTAAATTTTGAGTAATTATATAAATGCTCTCATAACTTTGGTGATTTTATCCTTTGCCTTGTTGCTTTGTATTTATTTATTATTATTATTATTCATCTCTCACTCATGCCATGCGCATAACTCGAGTAAAGGTGTACACGGTTCGGTTTCGATTCCTTTTTTAAAGAATCGTTGTGAACGGTTCTGATTTCGGTCCATGAGAACCGACTGTTAGTGTTGTTCCATTACTTAACAGAATGCAATAACAAAAATATAAATATAAATAAATACATAATACAGTTGTAAGCCGCAATACAAATCAAAGAAGTTCAAGATGGTGTGTAACGGTGTAAGCCGCGATACAGATTACAGAAGAGAGGATGAGGAGTGTGGATGAAATCTAAATCGATCGAGTGCAGAGGATCTGAAGATGAGAATATTTGAAGATGAGGGAGGCGAGGCGCCGACAGCCGAGGGCGATGAGGATTCGAGGAAGCTTGAGATTCGGCGATTGGGGAGGCGAGGGTTAGCTTTGCCCGAGAATCGTTGGAACAGCTCCGGTCACGCCTTCGCTGGAGTCTAATCTCGACCACCCGAAGGTTTTGGAAGAAACCCATGTAGGAATTCCAGAGAATGATAGTGAATTGGATAGGGATAGAGAAGATTCAACTTGTGAATTAAGGATTGGGATTGGTATTGAAGAAGAAAAGGTTAGCTTGAGATGGGGACTGGGCGATGAGGGGACTGCGGAGGCGAGGGTTAGTTTGAGATGCAGAAACGAGACTTTAGGTTTAGATGAGTTTTCAGATTTTCAATTTCGGAGTTTTTCTTTTTTTTTTTGGCTGCTTGTAGGCCTCATAAGGCTGTAGTTTAGTTTAGAAGAACTGTTTAGTTACTGAGACAATAAATAACTATATATATATATATATACGGTTTCGGTTCTTACCGGTTCACATGAACCGGAACCGAAACCGTATATCTACGGTTCCGAAATTAAGAACTGGGACTAGAACTGAAGCTCACGGTTCGATTCGGTTCTCACGGTTCCATGATTCCATAGTCAAGAAATCCATTATGTCTAGTCTCCATCTCCACTATTTCTCCCCCCATCATTCATTGCGTTCTCTTTAAATAATTTCTATTATGTTTTGTTGACAATTTGTCTCCTAGTGGAAGAAGTGCAAGCCTTATGATAAGGAAACTCCTATTTAAATTATAATTAAGACAAAAAAAAAAAATTATATTTATAAGTTTATTTATTTGTGACCTTGTAATTAATCTTACTTGTCAAGTAGTATTTGAGAAATACAAATTTAAGAGTGTTAATTTTCTTTTCCTCTAATATATGTACACATTTTTCTTATGATTTGAATTTAAATTTTTTTACATGGGATAGAAGAGATACTACTGAGATAATTTATTTTAATCCGATTGCATATCCTCTGACTGAGTTGATTTGATTGGGTTGATACGGCAAGGTCAAATGCTTAAAGTCTATGACAACACCAAGTCAACATCTAATCTTATGACATGAGAATGAAACATAAGCTTATTATCTTAATTAGATGTTGTAACGTAAGGATTTTGTACAACTATTTTGAATCTCTTGATTTCAAAATATATTCATAATGTAAAATAAGAATTTAGAAGATAATTTATTGAAATTTGATTTTTGAATCACATTCCTCACTTAAACGATCCATATATTATGACACGGATACACGTGTTATAAAAAAAAAATAAAAACAAAAATAATGAAATTTTATGTAAAATATTATTGTAGGGGATGCACCTCACATATCCAGGTGGCATGGTCCCATGATACTAAAGGAGTCTTGACCAAGATCGGGGTGCATCCCCACCTCAACAACAGTGCTCGAACAAGAGCACTCGAGATCTTTTGTTATAAGACATAAAACCATCTTGAGACCAAGGTAGGATGGTCTCGAGGAACCATCTTTTTTACTCGGGAGATTAGAAGGATTTATGATTTGGAGGATAAGGAGTTAGAATTCGCCTAGTCTACTAGGTCTAGTAAATGAAATGAGGAAATTAATTATCTGTAACATTTATATTCACATTTAATGCGCTACCGTCACTTTTGAGGGAATGTGCCTTTATTTATAGTCTTAGCTATACGTCCGCCTCTTTAGAGTCAATCTTAAAACTAGACTCACCTTGTTAGACTAGCCATAATGACACCACTAGGTTTAGTAGGGTCACCGTGGTCATTTGGCATGGTTATAAGGTTTAGATTTAAACTAATTCAATAATAATTGTCTCACACACACAAATATATATATATATATATAAGGATAGATTTGTGCATCTTACTCTTACATCAACTGAAATATGAAGTAGTCTATCTTTCTAGATTGCCACATAAACTGTGGTACTAGATCTATGGTTTGTTGGCAGCTAAATGGATATAAATCTCTGGATGTGGTTTCTCATTTGACGAGGACATTTCAAGGAAGAATTCTTAATACAAAAATCACAACTTTTGTTAATGGCACAAAAAGTACGGGGTTAGTCTAATTTTTCAATGTCAAATATCTGTATTTTCGGTGAATTAGAACTAAATAGCTAGAACTAAAGTTACTGTAATTCTTGAATGCATAAATAATAATAAATAGAGTCTCAGTATTTTCGCTGAAATAGAAGAGAGATTAAGACTTAGTACTAGTACAAGACTTCTAATTAAGACTTGGTACAAGAGATCAAGTCTTAGTACGTTAAGACTTCTAATTTACCCTTTTTATTATATTCCATGTGATGTGTGTGAAATGGCATGCTATGCTTGCGGAGGGAAAGCCCATCTAGATTCCCGGTGTATCCGAGCTTGGGCCTCCTTGGACATGTCGGATCCGGTGAACCTTACTTAACGGGTCAAATACCACTAAAATCAAATAACCCAACCCCCAAGGAGTGAAGAATTAAACCTTTGCCGCTCTTGAAGCTCAGGACGGCCTAAACCCTAAGTAACGTCTTGTTGTCGACGGCGGCAACAACCTTCCTTAAACTTCTGCCTATACAAATAGATTATATACAGTATTGTATACTCTCCAGAAAGCAATGAATGCTCCTATTGTCTCTAAGCATCATTACAATCAGCGCCGTGAAAATGGAGCCAACTATTGAAGTTGTTTGTTCGTTTGCTCAAAAGATGTTAATTTTTCTCCGCAGCCTCTTCGGCATGGGACGCAGAAACTATCAACGCGTGAGCGTGTTCTTATCAATTCCTCAAACTCCTAATCATATATGTTTTTTTGCATTTAATGGTTCACAAATAGTCTCTCCTTTCCCGTACACTTTTTTGATCTGGGTCACTAGTTTTCTATGTTTTTTTCGACACCCATTTGTCACCATAGCAAAATTTGACAATTTTAGTAAAGATTCTGATAGAGAATCCATTCGTGAAATTGTTCGCCAAGGACGATGGGATGATTGTAGGATAGTTAATTTGATTGATTCTACTTTAGCGCCAATTTGGGTTTCGAGGGTTCTAGTGGAATTAAAGGACGAACCGAGATTAGCTTTGAAGTTCTTCAAATGGGCTGAAAGGCGAGTTGGGTTTCGCCACACTACAGAATCCTATTGTATTACCGTTCATATATTATTTTGTGCTAGATTTTACATTGATGCCCGTGATATTCTCAAGGATTTGATTGGTTCCACTATGGTGTTACCTGGTTTTGATATATTTGATGTGTTGTGGTTGACAAGAAATGTTTGTCTTACGGGTTACGGAGTGTTTGATTCTTTGTTTAGTTTATTAGCTGAGTTGGGAATGCTCAAAGAAGCCAGTGAGTGCTTTTTGAGGATGAAGAGATATAGAGTTATTCCAAAAGCACGTTCCTGTAATTATCTTTTGCATAGGCTTTCAAAGGTGCACAAGGGCGAGCTGTTGAGGAAGTTTTTTGATGATATGATTGGGGCTGGAATTGCTCCATCTGTCTTTACATATAATATAATGATAGATTATATGTGTAAAGAAGGGGACTTGAGGATCGCGAAAAGCTTGTTTGCACAAATGAAAGATATGGGTATTGCACCTGATATTGTTACTTATAATTCCCTTATTGATGGGCATGGTAAGGTTGGGCAATTAGATGATTCGGTTTCTGTATTTGAAGAAATGAAGAATGCTGACTGTGTCCCTGATCTAATAACATACAATGCTCTGATCAATTGTTTTTGTAAATTTGGGAGAATGCTACCGGCATTTAAATTTCTCCATGAGATGAAGGAAACAGGTTTAAAACCAAACGTCATAACTTATAGCACATTTATTGATGCTTTTTGCAAGGAAGGGAAGACGCGAGAGGCAATCAAGTTTTTTGTGGACATGAGACGAGTTGGTCTTACTCCTAATGAATTCACGTATACCTCTCTGATTGATGCAAATTGTAAAGAAGGTAATCTTGGTGAAGGTTTGAAGCTGCTCAAAGAAATGCTTCAGGCAGGTATCAAGTTGAACATTGTTACCTATACTGCATTAATTGACGGCCTCTGTGAAGAAGGGAAGATGAAGGAAGCTGAAGAAGTATTCAGGGTGATGTTGAAAGAGGATGTCACTCCTAATCAGCAGGTCTACACTACCCTTGTTCATGGGTATATTAAAGCCAAAAAGATGGAGAATGCCATGGACATTTTCAAAGAAATGAAAGTAAAATGCATTGAACCAGATTTATTTCTGTATGGAACAATCATTTGGGGTCTCTGCAACCAGGAAAAGGTTGAAGAAGCCTCTCTTTTGTTTTATGAAATGAAGGAATGTGGTATTGAACCAAATCATGTTGTGTATACAACACTTATAGATGCCTATTTTACGGCTGGAAAAGCTACAGAGGCACTGAATCTGCTACGAGAAATGCAGGACTTAGGGATTGCCCCTACTGTTGTGACATATTGTACATTAATCGATGGTTTGTGCAAGTTGGGATTGATCCAAGAGGCAATTGATCATTTTGATAGAATGCCAGGCATTGGTTTGCAACCTAATGTTGTAGTTTATACAGCATTGATAGATGGTCTTTGTAAAAATAATTGCATGGAAGCTGCCAGGAAGCTGTTTGATGACATGCTGGGCAAGGGTATGTTTCCAGACAAAACTGCTTATACATCATTAATTGATGGGAATTTAAAGCATGGCAATATCCAGGAAGCCTTGGATTTGAAAAAAAGAATGATTGAAACCGGTGTGGAGCTTGACCTTAAAGCGTACACTACTTTGATTTGGGGGCTTTCTAGATGCGGTCAAGTGCAACAAGCAAGGAATTTGCTTGATGAGATGATTAGGAAGGGTGTTCTTCCTGATGAGATTGTTTATGGTTGTCTGATTAGGAAATATTATGAGCAAGGAAACATGGATGAAGCTCAAGAATTACAGAATGAAATGGTGAAAAGGGGTCTTATTACTGGCATAAGTAATTATGCTATTCCTAATATACAAACTTGAGAGGGCCTAGATGCTTGTTCATCCTTGTTGGTGTCAGGCTGGAAAAGATATAGATTCTTGGCGGAGAAGAATGATTGCCGAAGATATATGATGTAGGGCTTCAGAATAAGGAATTGCTTGTACTGGGAGGTGCTGGTTTGCTGATGGGCTGTCGCTGGATATCCTTTTACACATACCCAAAGTTCATTATTGGTCTCATGATGCAAAATCTGGTATGGAGTTGGCACTTACTTAGCTCAGAGTCACTGTGATAGGACATGCACTTCTGTACTTTTCTGGCTGAAATCCTTTTCAATCTTGTTAATAGGTGAGTATTGGCTTTCAAGTTCTTCAAGCTTTTTATAACTGAAATATAAAACATTGGGCACTTCTAGGTTTTATTGCTAGCTTTTATTTTGTAAAACTGAAGTAATCAAATATCTCCTTCAAATTTTCCTTTTGTGATGCTTCTTACTTCACTGCTCTTCAACTTACGATGATTAAATTGTTGCGGCAGATGGCTGGATCCACAGTTCTAATGGAGATATGAAGTATTTGAAGATATTTCTAAATTTAAATGGCTTGGAGTTAACCAAGTGAAATATACAACATGATTTTGGGTAATCCATTTGGCCATTCACCATTCGTGAACTTTTAAAGGCTTATCTTGGATATGGCATCAGTAAGTCAAATTTCTAATCTTAACAAGTTTTAGTTAGATTATAGCAGTTTTGCTTTACAGATGTCTTTTGATTATCTTAATTCTTGGTTGTGTTAATGAAGGATGTTTGAAGAAGTTGGTGTGGTACATAACTGTTGCAATTACTATCAGTTCTCTTCTAATTTTTTTCGTTTCCTCATCATACCTATAAAGAGGTTTTTCTGGTTTTTATTTTTTGGTACAAAGCTACTGTTTTTGAATTTGGAGGTTAGGCTTTGTTGGATTCCTATAAGCATAATGATGGATCTCAATTGCCTTGAAGGAATGCAATTGTTAACTTGAAATTAGGGATGTTTTAGATTTTAGTGGTTTAGAAAGATTAAATCAGGAATGATTAGAATCAATTCGAATATATATATATATATATTTGAATTCATGTCTTTTGGTTAATAATATAATAAAAATGATTTACAAGAAGTTTACGTATTTAAAAATCTATGCACAAAGTAGTTGGAATAGCAAAATTCCCAATCTCTATGATAATTGTCCTATATCTTTTTACCTTAGTTTTGGATGATCTAACAAAACACATTCAGCATGAGGTTCCGTAGTGTATGCTATTGCTGATGTTATATTTTTTATTGATGAAACTAGAGCTGGGATTAGTGTTAATTTAGAGGTTTGAGAAAATCTAGAATCCAGAGGGTTCAAATAAGATTTGACTAAAATTAAATATATGGAGTAAAAGTAGAAACAGAAGTCGGGTTTTAGTGAAGACTGAATGTTAAGAGATACCAAAAAGTGAAATTTTCATTATTATGCACAAAGAGGGAGAAGTTGGAGACGATAATAATCATATAATTAAAGCAGGATGGGTTAAATGGAGTAATGCTTCTCTCATATTGTGTGATTGTATGTTTACCTCTGAAATTGAATGGTAAAATTTTGTAAAATAGCTATTTGACCTGTCATACTTTTCGGGACAAAATGTTGGGCAATTGAGAAATAATGTATTCATAAAATGAGTGTTTATGTGTGAAGGGATGCATGGCAAGACATAAAAGGGTAAATTTAAGAGTGAATACATTCATGAGATGGTTAAAGTAGCACCAATCAGAGATAAAAGGAGAGAAAACTTATTAAGATGGTCTGGCCATATCTAGCAACAGTCAACAGTTGCACGGTGCTTATTGAGGGTAATGTTGGGTGGGGGGTAAAAACTAATATAGGTTGAGATAATTAGAACAAGAGTTTATGACTTGTTGAGTGGAACCAATAAAAAAATTCATGTAGTCAACACCAAATAGTTGGTAAAAGTTCTTGTTGAGTTGAATCGATTTTTGTTGGCTAGAGGCTTAGATTAGGAGAAAGTGTGGGGCTTTTTGTTGGTTTTCTGTTCAGGTTTATTCTATACGCTGTCTGTACTTAATTCTTCCTCATTGGCGTCTTAATTCTTCCTCATTGGCGTCTTATCTATCCAAGTGAAATTCTTTTTATTTATCTGAAAAAAAGAAAAAAAAAAAGAAAAAAAAAGAAAGTTTCTTCAAAAGCCAGCTCAGTTTGCTGACAATGTAGGATGACTGGCAATGCATGTCCGTTGTACAAACAAAATTTTCCATTGTGGGGAGATGGGGAGAACCCTTTTTTTCTTCTTAATCATGGAATGCAGTCAGTTCAGCCAGAAGAAAAACAAATTATAGTTGATCTAGTGACCAGTAATCTTGGAGGCTCAATAAACCTTTCGGGGGAAAAAAAATCTTGGAGGCTCAATAGTAATTATTTCCTACAGTGTGTATTGATTGCATTTTGTCAATACAAATTTGGACCACATCTTTAAATTTTGATAAACTATTTTCTAGCATGCGTGGTAGGACCAGGATGTTTGGAATAGATGGAGGAGTAGCTGAGATATACATTGGCAGATTTGGAGGAGTGGATGGCTATATTATGAAGAACGAGGTGAATAAGCTGGTGTAGATTCTTGGAACCATTGTTTTTATAGGAGAGTCACTACACTTTGCTTCTTATGGTATTGAGTGTTCATTTTCTTTGGAAGGCTATTTAAAAGATCTATTCAATTAAGGCTGCGTTTTGTATGCCGGAATGGAATGAAATGAATTTGCCTCTCCATTCACTTTCTATTGTTGGTTAAGCTCTATGTTACATGGACTTTTCAAAAGTAGTGAAGTACCCCATGTCGGACACATGTTGCTCAGACATGCGTATGGGATAAGTGTCCGACACTTTTGGTTGGACATGTACCTAAAAAACATATCTAATCATTCAATTATATTGTATCATTACTTTAAAATGAGTTAAAAGCCTATATTGAATACTATATTAGATAAAAACATTATGACTTATCAAAAAAAATATTATATAAAAATATTACTCAACTGTAGAAAATAAAATAAGCTAACTAAATAAAATAAATATTTAGCACTGTCCACGTGTTCTTCGGTTTAAAGATTTGACACATCTGATGCATAGATACATAACCGTACCCAAGTCCATGTAGCCTAGGTTAAGCTAAACAAAGCTGGAATGCCCAATCCCACAAAAAGCTATAATGAGCATTCTTCTTCTTGACTCTTAAGGAATGCTCGTTCCATTCCCATGTAGAATTCAAGCAAAATTAATCAAGTTGAAAAGCCCTTTGGCCCCTTTCCCTGTGTTATATCTACTGCTTCTCTGTCGCCATATCTGATCGGGTACGAGTACCAATCATCGTCTTTGACGACCAGCTACCGACAATATTTGGCAACCATAACCCTGTCATCCCTCGAAGTTTTCCTCCTCCTCTCTCTCTCTGTCTATTTATTTGTTAGGTTTTGACTCAACAATGAAAGAAGCACTTCAATTACTTATCCAAAAAAAATAAAAATAAAAATAAAAAAGAGCGAAAGAAGCACTTAAATCTTTGCCTCATGCTTCGATTCCAAAACCAATGATGTCTTCTCAACTCTCTCTCTTCTCTCTCGCATGGATGCTTCCCATTTGGTTACACCATTTAATCCTACTTGAAAAGTGGTGTTGCCTTTTGTCTTGTGAAAAGGAATCAAATAACACGGGATCAGGAACTATTAGAATTGATGAACGGTAAAGAATCTGAGAGGGAGAGCTTGAATTTCCTTCTGGCTACTTCATTTTGGGGTTGAGTTTTTTTTTTTTTCTGTTCCTTTCTTTCTTTTTCTTCGGGCAATTGGATTGGAATTCTTATTGGGTAATTGGGGTTAGAATTCTTCTTCTTCTTCTTCTTCTTCATTGTTATTATTATTAACTTTTAACATGTATTTGTCAAGGATGGGATGCTTTTATTTTGATATGTACACCCATTTATTTATTTCTTAAAATGCAAAATAAATAATTTCTTGAGTAATTAAAGAAAAAGAAAGGTGTATTTGTCCTAATATTGATTTTTTCCCATCTTAATATAATATGAATATATTTTAGTTTGTTGTTTAATTTATTTATTGCAATAGGGGTAGTTTGGAGAAATTAATTGAACACTATTCCATTCCAACTTTTAAACTGGTCTAACTGAATAATTGAAGTCTTGAATAGGAATACCACTTAATTTCTGCATCATTCAATTTATGCAATTAAACAATAGAATGAATGTGGTCATTTCATATCTATACCATTCTCTTCTTCATTCCATTCTTGCTGTATTCCATTCCTGCGTACCTAATGTACCCAAGTTTAGGGATGCTGTTCCCTAGAGAAAAGAAAGATAAAATTTGGGATGGATTATGAGCTTAACTAGACAGCGGTTGAGATTAATATATTTATTAATCAAGGTGGGAATGATTTTCAAAATCAAAAGTATGCCTATTTGAAATTCACTTTCAGATTCACCTTCTATGTTATGTCTTTTAAAATGACTGTCTTCTTCTGCATAGACAGCAAATTGAATGCCGTATATGCTTTAATTTGTTTCCAAATTAGAAATCAACTTTTGTTGCTTTGATTGGTATATGTTTTGCATTATAGTCTGTAATATACAGATTGTATATTGAGCGGGAAAGCAATGTCACTTCAGATGTGTTAGTACATTAAAAATTTAAAACTTCACTTAGATGGTATGTTGACCAGGAAAACAATGTCACTGAAATTCATTATTAATTCGGACGAATTAATTTATTGAACCTTAATGAGCATTCCGTACTCTTTTTTTTTTTTGCCAACAGTTAATTGATTTTGTAGATTTTGCTGGTCTCATCTCATCTTTCATACTGCTATCGAACTCTGAATTTACTTGTCTGGATTTGTTTTTTGTGACTATTCATTCTCTGTCAGCAATATAGCATTATTATGTTGGCAGCATATTTGTAATGATAAGTGATAATCTTAATTGGATATTTGTAATGATTTGTTTTTTATGCATAAAATTTATGCTTGTGAAATATTGGCTGCTTTGCAGACTGAATCTGTTGAATAGAGGCTGGTACATCCCAAGCAAATGGAAAAAGCAATTCAAGGGAAGCCAATGGAGGTGAGGAAAATACCTCTAGAGAGGAAAAAAAATAGCACTGCTCTATCCAAGGAAATATGTGATCCAAAAGAAGTTAGAAAATGAGGGAAGTGCTAGTGGAGAGGAAATCCAAATCCACATGAGTAGTCTTAGGCTTAAGGAGACAACAAATTTATCTTGCAACCTAGTAAGTAATGTCTATACCAACAAAGAGACTTAACTTCTGGGGTAAGCTCTGGTTCTTTGTTCCCAGTTTGGGTTGTTTCTCGGGTTACGTATTCCTCTTAGGTGTGAGACTTTATCTCTTTGTTGCCTATAGATTTGTTACCAATATACTGTATAGAAAATTACTTTCTGAATAAAAATTTTTTTTTTTTTAATTTTTAATTTTTGCTGTTCAATTGGGCTAAAGCTATTCCTTGTAGGTCACAGAAAAGTAGAAAGTGTTAATTTGGTGGAAGATTGAGTTCCAATTTATAAGTATTTTGATGTGTTTTCTGCAAATTAATGTCAAATGTTATGCCTGTTTCCATTTTTTTTCCCAGCATCTGGCTTAGGTGGGACAGAAATTGGATAGAGCAGCTTTGATGTGGAGAGCCTCTCTTGCATGGCCATTTCATTTAGCTCACATATTGGATGGAACAGATTTGAATAGCCCACATGTTGTTGTTTGGATAGAGCAGATTTGATGTGTTTATAGCCCACATATTGTTGTTTGGATAGAGCAGATTTGATGTGTCTGCAAATTAATTTTATACAAAATGTTGACAGAAGCCTAAAAGAATTTTATGAGATCTCTGGCTTGAAGCCCAACCATCAGAAAAGCCGTGTATACTTCTGTTTGGAATACAGATTCCAAATTCAAAGAGGGGGAACATCCCAATCTAAGTACTTGGGTGTCCCACTCATCTCAACCAGGCTAAAAGTGGTGGACTGCAAGCCCCTCGTTGAAAGGATGACTGCTAGAATCAGGTTTTTTTTTTGGCATGAAAACATATTCGAGGGAGGATTGGGTATAAAAGAACTGAGCATATGTAGGGATGGCAACGGGGCGGAGCGGGGCGGGGATCTCATTCCCCATCCCCATCTCCATCCCCATCCCCATCCCCGCTTAAAATTTCACCACTTCCCCCATACTTGCCCCTGACCCCTTATCCTCGGCCCCGCCCCATCCCCGACCCCGGCCCGATTAACATATATATTTAAAAAAAAAAACATAATTTTTCTTATTTTCATATATATACTAAATCTAATTTAGTATTAAATTATTATATATAAGGGTATATTAATAATTTCACACTTAATCGAGGTGGGGCATGACGAGTTTACCCCGCCCCACCCCCGGTAGGTTTTCAAAATTTATCCCCATCCCCGTTTACATAAAAGAATCCCCATCCCTGCTATAAATGGGGCGGGGCAGGGACTCGGTGGGAATGGAGAATTTGTGATCCCTAAGCATATGGAACTAGGCTGCTCAAGCTAAACATATCTGGAATCTAGTTACTCAGAAACAAGGTGATTCCCGTTCCCTATGGGTTGACTGGGTCTAAGCACCATCTCTTTCGAAACAGAAACTTTGGGTTCATTAAAATCCCCGCAGACTGTTCTTGGTGCTGGAGAAACATATTTCAACATAGAGAGAAGGCCAGGGGATACGTAAAGACATATAATTGGAAATGGCAAGCACACCTATTTGGTTGGAAAGAAACAAAAAGAACTATGGAAAATTGCTTCATTGATAATGGCTCTGTGCTAAAGTCAATGGAACTAGGGAGGAGCCTAGATGACTGAAGTGTTCCTGTTGACCCTATAACCAGATGGTTTCAACTTACATGGAGACTTGCTGAGTCTATTTTTCATTAAGCTCTTTTGCTTCTATGCTCCTTTAGACTCTATTTCTGTATATAGTGGGGCATGCCTCGCTCTCTACTGTGCATAGTTTTGTTCTTTTTCTTTTTCTTTTTTTTAATTTTTTAATTTTTAATTTTTATCCATTCCCAACAAAAAAAAAAAAATCTCATAGCAGGATATTTAGAAATAATTAAAACATGGACAACACCCTTAAAACTTCTAGCGGAAAAACCCTTAATTATACATACCACTTTTAAGGTACCATATTGCCAGGACAAAACCTTTAATTACATACCACAGTAGTGTGCAATTGTTGTGTTTACCTACTAAAATAATCCACAAAAGTATTCATGATTTTGAAATGGCTTTTTTCATGGTTGTAACTTGTAACTACCCAAAAATCCTAAAAATTGGCACGAACATAATGAACCTAGACTAGATAAATCACAGACGGGCCGACAATCAACTTCCCACTTGCATATGACTTAATGTCATATAAGAGCAGAAGTAGAAAGGAGTTAATTGTTGAAGAAAAAAAGGTAAAAGGCTATCATAATATGATTAATGATCTTCTTTTAAATTTCTAAAAGATTTAGATATTCAACATTACAGACTCGTGTCTTTTGCTCTATCCACAAGCTTCAATGGATGCTATCTAGCGGCATTCCAATGTAACAAAGTAGCAAAAATCATTTCAATTTGACCCCTAAGCATCGAGTACATTCATCGAAGAAAAGGAAACGTTACTAGTAATGCCTCGACAGTGTCTGGAAAAAGGAAATATGGAATTTTCTGCAGTAAATTAAGAATAGGTTATCTAATGGTGTCTTTTTCTGAACACAATTTGGAAGAAAATGTCACAGCATGTACAAGTAATGGAAGTTGCCATCCTTCAAAATATATATTTCTGTTTCTTAAAATGTTCTAATTGTCAAGGTAACAAAGCTTCTGTAGAAAAGGACTAAGCAACACTTTAAACTAAATATTGCAACATTTAATGACGCACAAATAAACAAATAAAGTGTGGGGTTGCATTTCCATTCAAGATTTCCTGCCTCCTCAATGTCTGCTGTTCCTGTCAGCCATGCATTTGTTATACTCATGCGCTAATCTCTGGTGTCTCACCTATTCGCCTTTGTATCATTTTCCAATAACAGAAGATCCACAAAATGCTCCAGCCTTTGACTTCTTAACCACAATCTTTGCAAAGATGTCCTCCTTGTTTCAATTTGACATAGTCCATGTCAGGTTCACCCACACTGAAACAAGGAGGAAAAGAAATATTTAGCACCAGAAATATTTAGGGTGAATTCTTCACAATGAAATTAAAATATTCCAATATGATATAATTAGCTTACATATCCATCCATTAAAATGGAGTCACTATACAACATTATAGTTGTTATAGGACTGCCCTTCATTTAGAGTTCAAAAATGATTCATCTCCTATTATACTAAAAGATTGCATTAGACATGCTCAAGACGGAGATTCCACTCGTATAAAAACCAGATGTTTTCAAAAATGATTTACCATGGATGCTGCTTCTAAACATCTAGCCTTCTCAAGTAGATAAGCCTCATGCAGAAGATCTCCTTTCTGCTTTGCTATTTTTGCTGCCTCCAAGAAGTTGCCCCATTCTTCTTCCAACAACAGAAGCTCATCAAAGCAATTCAAATCCTTCAAGAGGATTCGAATAGAGTCAATCGAATCGAAAGCTTTAACATATCTCATCATTGTTTGCTTATCTTTCAGAAAATGATAATGTTGTGCACATCTTTCTAAAAGTTTTTGTTCAATAATGAGTATTTCGTAAATTCTTTTGACCCTACCAACATCAGTAGGTGCATTCTGTTTCCAGCATTGAAGGAATTCCAACCCAATGTCAAGGACTTCCGGATAGGTATTTCCTTTTGATAAAATATCGACTTCCTTGAAAGCAAACTCATAGAAAGGATCAGAGTGGTTCTTCGCAATTGATTTGGCTCTTGTTAAAAGACCGTCCTTCTGGTTTAACTGCCCCACAGGCCTCAATTTGCTTCTGAACGGATTCAAATAGTTGGAGAAGACATACCACAGAATGAGCATAGTTGCCTCCCTGAATTGTCCAGCCTTCTCTACAAGATCAGCTTCAAGGAGAAGATCTCCTTTCTGCTTTGCTATGCCAGCTGCTTCCAGTAAGTTTCCCCATTCTTTTTCCAACAAGAGAAGCTCATTGAGGCAATTCAAATTCTTCAAGAAGGTGCGAATCATGTCTCTGGAATGAAAATACTTCACAAACTTCATCATTGCTCTATTATATTTATGCTCATAATAATGAAGAGCGCCTCTTTGCAAAAAATCCTGTACAATTTTGTCCATTTCTATCATCTTATCAGCATAAAATTCCGCATGTTTTTCCCAGGACTGTATGTACTGCAATCCCAAGTCAAAGAATTTGCCATCAGTACAAGCGGACAGGCTCTTTGAGTACAATTTAGCCTTGGCATATACTTCAGCTGCACGCTTATAAAGTCCAGCCCGAGAAAAACATTCTCCAGCCTTATCAAGCTCAGAGTTTTCCAAATAAATACTACCTGCAATCAATAAGTTGTTATAGTGCCGGTCTAGATTATCAGAAACCAGGGCAAGCAATATCCCTGCCACATACTAAAGATGGAACTCAAAATGAAATTTTAGTGCTATTCTTCGCAAATTGTTTCAGCACATAGATTGAGTAAATGATTTTAAACTTGAGAACTTGTAGCCTATCCTCCATTTTGTTATGGAAGAACAGTTATTTAAACTAGTTAACCCAAAACCTTAATCTTCTAGGAAATAGGCTCAACAATGCATATCAAGGTTACACACATAAAAATTGGAAATTAATACAAATGTTCATTAAACCAAAATTGAGCACCAAAATTCTTCCATATTAGAAATGAACTTAGTATCAAATCCTAAAAGAACACATTAAAGCTGCAACTAGCAAAGTTCCAAGACCATTAAAGCTTTCACCATTAAGGTAGGTTGAGGTTGCAAGCGGATACAAAATGGGAGAAGTGCAAAAAACACCCTCGTAGTTCCAAAAGTGTGCAAATAACACCCCTCGGGATTATTTGCACACTTTTGAAACTATGAGGGTGTTTTTTGCACTTCACCCGACACAAAATGTTAAAAACGAAATAGATTACAAGAGATGGCTGACAACATTCCTCTACTAAAGCTGTTCAAAGATATATATATATATATATATATAACAAAAAGGGAAAGGAAAAACATACCAGCTCTTTCATACTCATTTAACTTAAAAAAACATTGTGCAGCTAATTCTGCCTTGCCAATTAAGTAAAAAATTTCAGCAGCCTCTCTAAGGTAAACGCACGAAATTTCAGGATTTGGACCACTCATACAGTCAGCAGTTACTTGAAGCCGAGTTGCCTTGGCCAATCTTTCCCAATATGCATCTCCCACTCTTTGGAAGCACGTCATTGCCATGTTATAATTATGTTAATGAAAGAGCTGCAGTAGTAAAAAGTGTAAATCGTGGAAAAAAATTTAAACTTGCTGAAAAATGTAAAAGAAAGATAATAAGCAAACTGTTATGTATGGACATGCACAGGACAGGGACAATACAAAATTAGAACACTTACAGAAAGGATAGGGGCAATATACATAAAAAAAAAAATCACACATTTAATAGAAAGGATAAAACATTTTCTGAGGTATGACAATCACATGTCCTAGAGTATCTAAAAAGCATTGATTCGGCATGCCATGAGCTTAAAGTGCTAGATATTTATCAGATAATATCTTACACATCTGATAAGTTACTTCTACGTAGGCATCTGTGTTTCTTTTGGCAGTAATAATAAAATAATAATAATAACAACCACCACCTATCAAAAATTGCTTGAATCAAGTACACAAAGCACCAGATATAATAATATTTATATAAGTTCATGGAAAGATTTAACAGGCCTTGATCCCCCAGGATCTCCAATCCTCCTGGCTGCTGGCAACTTGCATTTCCTTAGCAAATGAATCATCCAGTTGTCTTACTTGGACAAGGCGCAGCTTTTTCCAATAGTCGAACATTGGTTTGAAATACACCTCATCATTCTCAAAAACCCATAATCTTTGCTTCGTACGAGTGATTGCCACATATAACTGCTTCAGTTCAGAGCACAAGACATCGTGCTTTTCCAGACTGAAACTCGGAAAGGACTGAGGAGAAGCAGAGTTGAGCAGATCTTGTTGCTTCATATATTCATATATCACTCTCCATTGATTTCTAAACGGGGAAGAGCTGAAAAAGTTGTACAACAGTACATCCTGCAATAAAATAGAATGAGAATAATTGTACAGCTAGTATCAGATCAACATTAGTGACATTCAATCTCATAAAGGCCTAACAGTGAGTAAAGGTATTACAGTAAATTAAAAACCGACACAATCCACTCAAAATAAGACTAGAAGCTAACTACACATGCATAACTGAACTAACAGATAAAAACCACAAATCACCTGAAATTCAAGGCCCTTGCACTCCAAAATTGTCAGAACAAGAGCTTTCTTCCCAATATGCTGACAAATTTCCTTCCTCAAGCAATCATCCCGAACTAATATAACTTGCTCTGCTCCGAAGCTGTAAGCATCCCCACATACATTTCCATTTTCACCATTCTGAAATATATTTTTAATTGCATTTTCATTATTACTGAATTGAAGCAAAACGGGGGCTTCTCCTAGCAAAAGACTAGTTTCAGGTTTCAAAATGTCAATAGATAAAGGAAAGAAGTGGTAAATAAGCTCCACTACACTCTGTGCCAACTTTAGAACTCCAGAATGGGTGCGAAAGTTCTGGCTCAAATGAAAAATGTCTGAGATTTGACCTTTCATTTTTCTTACATCAGTTACATCATTTCTTGATCCCAATACAAACTCTTGGTAGAACAGACATCGTATATCTTCAAACCTAAAATCAATGCCCCTTGCTATAGTTTGAGCCCTATCACCAGCAAAAACAAAGCCATCGTCAACATTTTTGCAGATATATTTGAATAGAGCAATTTGTCTCATGGAAAGATCCTGTACTTCATCGATGTATACAAAATCTATCCCATCACCCTCATATCTGTTCTTTTTAAGTCGCCGATGAAGATCATTCACCAAGTCTGGAAAGTCAAAATCACCATTTGCTACCTTTTCTTTCTTATATTTCAGGAAGATATCATAGATTTTCTCCCTCTTCTGTTTGCTTAAGGTGGAGGCCCGATCCTCGGATAGTAAAATGTATACCTCCCGACACAAATTCCCATCAGTGGCCACCCCTGCTGCTCGTAAACCACCTTTTATAGCAGACATTATCTCAGTGAAAACTGAGGAAGGATTAAGTTTCTTTGTTAGCTCGATGTTGAAATGAGGCCAGTAATATGAACTAAATCTGTCATAATTAACCTCCCTTGTCCTGATAAAAGTTTCTAAGGAAACCGATCTCGATTTATGATCAGTACTTTTCCCATGATACCATTGCCTTGCATCAGGGAATCTCTCGAAGTATGAAGTACCAACTGTACCATCGAGCATCATCAAGAACTTATGAAACGTTATGACAAGAGGATACCACTTAGATGGAAGATCAACAAAAGAATCCGGAATATCTATGAACTGTGCCAAATCATGATCAATACCATCCTCAAAGAGGGAATTGCTGTTGGTTGAAGAATTACCGCCACATACAAAGCTGGACATTTATCAAAACCTATATATAATTAGATAAAGCAAAAGCTTTTATGCAGGCAATGCATGAATGCATATATATATATATATATATATATATATATATATATATATATATTGGTTTTTTGATAAGGTAAGTACTCACACACACATTTCACAAATTGCCCGCTATGACCTCCCCTTTGAGGGAGGGTCTAATGGCCCATTGGTAAATAAATGCATGTTGTTACCACTATAAAATATATAGTATTAAGGCTAGCATTACATAAGGAAAACCTTATGACTTGGAAAAAATAGAATTTGCCACAACAGCAAAAAATACTCGAGCTACTTCCATAATATCTGCTTCACAAGATTATGTACGTACCAATATGGATTGCGCAAATGCAATAAGATACAATTGAAGTTTTCATTTTTTTTAAAAGAAAAAGGCAATTAAAACATATATTATAAATACTGAATAATTAAAGAACATTTCATAAAATCACACAAGAAATAAATAAAAAAATAAATTAAAAAATTGATTTTACACAGTGGTCAATATATTGCCACAGACATACAACCAATTCCACTGAGACTTTCTTATACTTATTCCATGCTATCATGTCTCATTTTTTCAAGATACCAGATATATTGAAACTCTGATACACATGATCAGGTGTCTTTCCAAAATGGATCACATAGAGTAGAATTATTTTTAAAAAAATTTTATTCATATAATTCCTTAAATACAGTTTACTTTTATTTCCATCTAAGTACTGAAGATAGGGAAATCCTTGGAGACATTTTTTGTGGTTCCATTACTCTACATGTATTCCATACAAAAATACGTTTTAACAATCTGAAGCACTCATATTTTAACAAGACCACCATGATAAAAAAAGCTAAGCAAACAGAGAGTGGTTTAAAAAACATTATTTTATTCTAACCTTTTCAACTGAGACACGAGCTGTTTGACCACATGACACAGTCTTGGACTAACTGTAACAAAAATCTGATGCAAGACAGCCTCCTTAGTCTCTGTGTCATTCTCAAGAACCTCATGTCTCCAACTAAAGCTGGTAGAAGGATTGCTTCTAACTTCATGAAATCCTTCTGATACTATATGATATAGTTGCTCATTCTGAAATAATTTCATGGTCAAAACAGTAGTTTTCCCTGTGCCTGACCTTCCAAGTATGAAGGTGCTTCTCTTATAAAGAATGATCTCCTTTTCTTTCTCTGTTAGCTCAAAGGGAAGACCAAGTTCTCTGCCATCGCAACCAGAGAGCAAGTGGCTGACAAAATCAGTTGACAAGGAATAGAACTTCATTAGTAGCAAACTTTCATTCACCTTTGAATCCTCGGCATGTCGTTCTCCGTCAAAAGTATCAGAATCTGAATCTTTCACTTTATTACAGTTACTGAGATCCTTAAATTGAACAATTTCATGAGAGGGTAGCCAACTCATTGGAACTTCCAAATCCCTACACTCCATTATATATACTATTAATTACAGTACTAATCATACTACAGAAATTATTAAATCAATGTTCAATCTACCTATAGAAGGTGAAGATTCACTGATTCTGACTACGCATATAAAAAAGTAAATACAATATAATTCAGATAAGCTAGAATAGAGAAAATTGTGCGTACCCTCATTGCATTTGATCTTGCAACGGTTGAGGTAATCGTCTGTGTACATTCGAAATATGCCATCCAAACGTTTAACCAACTTCTGAATATCCTCTAAAGGCAGTACGTCCCAAACATTCAAGACTTGGATGTACTGTGATTCCTTAACTATGTCAATTGAGCAAACAACATAGAGTTGTTCAACCCTGAATTGTTTCACAGTGTGAGATGAACATTCACAAACGATGTCTGAATTGCTCCTCTTTGGTCGCCAGCCACTAGAAAGCTTTGATAAAAGGAGTAGAGCTAAATTCTTCGTCTCAGATGATCTTATCTTTACAAATGATTTTCTGAAGTTGTCACTAAAAACAATCTAAGGGACAAAGGAGAAAGAAGACAATAAAAAAGAAAGAAAGAAAAGAACAGTAATCAGGATTTGTAAGTGTATGTGTAAAATATACAGAATCGAAAACATACATAAAATTTGATTTACTGTGGATAAATTGTTAAAGAAAAGTAATAAATAAATAAACTACAGCAGGCCATGTACCTTCCACCTAGCACTTTTGAACAACAAGCTATCCCCACTAAGCAAATCATCAAGTTGATCAAGATCTTTCTTGACCTCCAATATGACTTTTGAAAAATCCTTATCCTCACCAGTATCAAATAAACAGTTACGAATCTTAGCGTTGCAGACTAGTTCTTCCCAGATTGATCGACTATTAGTTAGTGTTCTTTCATTTCCCAAAATCCATAGACTGTGCCTGAATGAGCATCAACAAGCCAGTAAACTGATAAAATTATATAACTAAAAATAAATTATAAAAACCAATTTTTTTAAAATCCAAATTGAAGCCATACCTCGCTCTTGTTAAAGCAACATTAGTTCTATGAGAACTAGAGATGAACCCAATTGATCTACCACTAGTAGATCTTACAGTTGATAATATTATAATGTCCTCCTCCCCACCCTGAAATCCATCAATTGACTTGACTTTCACAGTAAAGCTACCATTGTTTTCATATTTTTGTCCAAGTTTCTGTTGAATTGCTGAAACTTGAGCAGCATAGGGAGATACTACTCCAATGCTAACCTTTTCTTTTGAGGTATTGAAAGCTGTTCATAATGTAGGAATAAATCAAGATTTGTTGAATCAATACGTATTATAATTAGATGAAATAAAATTATTAAGTGCAATATAGAACCAATAAACAAACATTGACTGTAGTGTTTACCTTTGTAGAGCATCTGCACTATTTTTACTACAATAGCTACCTCGACCATATTTTTCCGGCTACCTCCAACATCAACTATTTCTTTTCCACCAGAAATATTTATGAAAGAATAGGGGCCAAACATTGGCCCTGGTAGATAGCATTTTGTATAGCTTTCACTCTCGACACAGGGTGCGTCTTTGATCTGGTTCTGGTAGAATTTTGAGTTGGGGAAAGAACTTATTGTTGGATGCATTCGGTATTGCATATTCAGAAGGTGCTTTGAATGACACAATGTGCTCAACCTCTCAAACAGGCTTCTTCCGAAGCCAGCTTCATCAGAAACCTACAAAAGCGGAGTTCAGAACATATTTGAACCAAACTGTAAACAACAACAACAACAAATAAAATAAAAATGAGAAGAAACTCTTGCTACTCCATAGTCAATATCAAAAGAACAAGAAATAATTGCTTACATTGCTCCTAACCATTGCTGGTAACTGGCACTGATCACCAATGAGAATAGCATGCCTTATACCTGGGAGCTTTAGGGGTATTACTGATTCACACTCTTTCACTGGGAAGCTTCATCAATAACCAACAAATGCAGTGGCTCCATAGACACTGAATGCAGTTTGTAAGAACTGGAAACTGTACAGAGAATTAAGGAAGCCATTTGGAAACAGAACTGCACTATCGAACGTCTGTTCACAGTATTCGGAAGGTTAAGCTCATCAAGTGAATGCCGAAGAGTTCTTAAAGCACAAAGGCACTCAATTCTTCTCCTGTACAATACAGTGCAAGAATCTGAAAAGGGACTGTAAAGCAGCATCCGCTAATTTTGGTTGAGAGAAAAGCTCCATCAGTTCCTCAGAAGCAGTGTTTCATAAACTCAAGGAACGAATTATGCTCCACCTTGACATTGCCATTTCTGTTGATGGGTTCTTTATCATTAATCTTTTCATTAAGACAGAAATTTTGGTACTGTGATACACACCCTTCAAGAAATTCTATCATGGAATTGAAGCAATGCTTCCAACCATTTAATGGTCCGAAGCACTCAGCAAGCTTTTCAACACGATAATCCAGATATATCTCTTCGATGCTGGAACCAACTTTGATTTGGTTCTTTTTACCAAATAGGAGAATATTTCCCAAGCAGCAAAATGTAACATCCCTTCCATCAGCTGTTTCAAATGACTCCTTCTCCAGCTTAAGGACTCGAGATGCCACTTCTGTAATTGCTACATTTGTTGGTGCGCAGGCTAGGGTCCTACATTTCAATTGTAGGAGTGTCCACAGTAATACGCTGAGCATTCTAGTCTTCCCTGTTCCTGGAGCCCCCCAAATAAGTTCATCAAAAGACTTGTGGTTACACTGCATCTTACGAATAGAAGCAACCACTGCCCTGTATTGGGACTCATTCAGCTTAGATGATAAACCAAAATTTTCTGCCCATATTTCATTCCTTTCTTCTACAGGACAATGAGTACAAATTTCTTCAACCTGTTAACCATAATCAAATCATGAAAACAACAAAAAAGAAAAACAAATATAATAAATTATGAAATGATATTCAAATCACCACATCGATCAGTAATAAATACAAATCCACAAACTGCGCCCAAGTCCTTTCTTATGTAGATCTCTTTGACTAGCTTGAAAAATAAAATTAGAGACAACAAAAGAAGTGCAATAAAATTCGGCACAATTCTTGCCTCAGAGTCGGTGCACGAAACTTTCTTAATAACCTCCAGATTCCCAAGCATGTGCAATGCATTCCATATTCTTTCCGAAGTAGTCATGTTCATCAAGAAGGTTACATACAAAATTTTCTTCATTCCATCCTTCACTCCAAGGCCATTAGATGTTTTGACTTTAAATAGAGTTGGATTGTTTCTACCTTCATCATCCCCTGATATATTAGTGATGTTACCCAAAATCCATCGCCTCCCCTCACGTTGCAAATCAGAAATGGTTTCCAGTTTTGATTCGGTAAAAACAAAAACATCTCAAGCAATGCTCTATAAGGCTCCTTGCCGTGATTATTAGATATGTTTCGCCAATAATCAACCTTAACATCATATAATAGTTTTCCATATGGCTTGGACTCTTTTACAGAGATCGCTTCAGCAAAAGGTGCACTGGATATTGCGCCCATTGATGAAGATAGTTCTGCTCGAGTTTCTTCCAGTAAAGGGGAAACAAATGACCTCAGATAATGCCTCACTGACTCAAATGATTCTGGAATTCTTTCAGCCTAGCAACAATGGAATGCAAACTTATTTCAATTTAAGTACCCTTATGAAATGAAGTCCACAACAATTGGTACGAATATAGCAATAACATATAAGAAGAATAGTATACACTAGAGTGCACAAATGAACCAAGGGTTTAACCCAAGTGGCATCCCCTCCTCCTTCCAAATGGAAGGTTCAGGGTTTGAGTCCGCAATGGGACAAACGGGTGTGTGCAATTTACCTACCAAATGAAACTACAACTCAACAGATGAGTATAAACATCAAGGAGGGGTTGCAGATGAACACAAATAAATTGTGTGCGCGCGTGTTTTTTTAATTCATTCAAAAGGTTCTTACAATAGGTTTCACTAAACTAGGATAATCCGTCAGTTATTAATGCAGTCTAGTACTCACATTATCTCGAGCATATTCATTGCTACACTTGATTCAATTAAGCTTTAATTTAGCCTAAAAGGGCCCATTTCCGTTAAGCCATAATCAATAACTGGTTTTTCTAAAGTAATTAGTTAAGCATCAACAGTTGTATTTGATTTTATGTATTCTTTATTAGACTGCAAAGAATCAATGAACTATATGTAATACCATATATAACAAAAAAGAAATCATTAAGATAGTACTAATAGAATTGGACAAGAAAGTGATGGTGTTTGAAGCATGGAGTAAAAAGACTAACCTTGTTTATATAGAGGTTCTCATTGAAGATGTCTTCAAGGGACCATGAAAACAACAAATCAGTTAAACACAGGTTTCCTGGCACTGCTGTTCTCTTCATCATTTTTCACTCTCTTCTCTGTCGTCAACTGGTTATGCTCAATAATGACAACTTTGAAACATCATTTTATTTTCAAATAGTGCTACAAATAATTAATGATATTGAGAGAAAGAGAGAGAGAACACAGAGAGACGGAGAGAGATTAATCGGTTTCTGGGTTGTGATTCTCATGGACCAAGGAAATGAAAGGGCAGAGAGATGACAGTAGAAGTATTCACAACAAATGTATCCCATTAAGTCTATTTACGTAGTTTTAAGCTTTTTAACTGTAAGAGAGCATCCTAAAGTGAAATGACAATCAGAACCTAACCATCCAATGATGAAATTTTGGATGAAAGAAAAGAGATATCAAACACTAATGATGATTGCGAGAGCCTTTTTTCTTGTGCAATTTATTAAGCTAAAAAAATGAGAGAATTTTTATGTTCCCAAGGACGACATCTTTTCATCTTCCTGGTAGACTAAAACTCTTCGTTGTCATTTTGTTTGGACTCCACTTAAATTCATCAAAAGGGGTCTCATTGAAATTTGTATTAGCCCTAGACTACTAGTAAAATGAACATGCTAAGCACCTTATAAGAAATGATTATTAAAATTTTCTAAAAGTTGCTTTGAATACTAATGATTAATGAAAGTGAAAATAATTCAATTATCACACTTGTTCGTTCTTCATATTCCTTAGGTGGATTTAAGGGCGGAATCCAATTCGGGCTCCTCCGTTGGGTTCAAATTTGAGTGATCACATGATAATTCCACAAAAATCACCCTTGTAATTTGATTTAGTTTTCATTTTCAATCTCAATTGCTTGTCTCTTGGAATTGCTCGAGTTTTTCAATTTCTCATTTTCAGTTCTTAATATTTGAGTGGTCACCTGATAATTTCACAAAACCCTTGTAATTTAATTTAGTTTTCATTTTCAATCTTGCTTGAGTTTTTCAATTTCTCATTTTCACTTCTTAATATTTGAGTGGTCACCCGATAATTCCACAAAATCCCAGTGTAATTTGATTTAGTTTTCATTTTCAATCTCAATTGCTTGTTTTGGTATGTATTTCGTAAATAATTTTTTTTATTAGTATTGGTGTTTAAAAATTATTATATGCTGTGGGACCATATAAATTCAACTAATTACATCTTAATATGCAAACAAAAACCGGAACAAGATTGACGTATTTAGGAGTTACTAAAATTTTGTCACCGTGTTATGGGTACAATTCAATTTTACAGGATAATCTGCCACGTATCACTCAATCAGTGGCTGATGAAGGTCCACATGCATGGCAAAATCTAGTAGCGATAAGGGGAGGTGTGGATTATATAATATAGCCGAACAATCACAATTCACGGTTCTCACCCCCATCCTTTGAGAATTGATCCATCTCCAATGGCCATTACCAGTTCTTCAGATCAGTGGTCATCAGCAGCAGCAGCTTGGATAAACAATTGCAGAAGAGAACAGCAGTCCTACTACTGCTACAAGCCGTCGTGGTCGACTACTAGTATCTTCACCACCACCACCACCACCACCAGCAGTTCATCTTCTAATTCAGCATGCAAAAGCAGGTTTCTCTCCTCCAAATCTCGACTACTACTTGTCACGGCCGCCAAATCATCATCCTCCTCCTCCTCCTGTCCATCCCCAAAAATCTTGGAAATTAATCCACCACCACCACCAGCATCATTCAGCAGCAGTAGTACCAATCATCCATCCCTCATCGAATTATCAGACCCAAAAGATGAGTATGGCCATCATTTCAGAACAATACCCGAAAAAGAATATTCTGATGATAACTTGAACGCTCTCATATGCACTTTATCTAAAGATCCCCAAACCCAACAACTCGCCTACCAATACTACCAGCAAGCAAAGCAGAAGCTGCCCAACTTTACACCTCACAAATCAACCTTCAATCATCTCATCAGGTATCTCATAACATCAAAGGATTGGAGTTCAATTTTGTCATTGTCCCAGGATTTTAACCACTTCAATTTATTTCCAGATAGTTCAACCTGTTGTAGATTAGTCAGTAGCTGCATTAGAGCTAGAAAATTCAAACTTGTAAATACCCTACTCCGAGTCTTTGAATCTCGTCGTCATGCCCAGGACCAAAATATTGCTGTTTTAGCCGCCTTTGATTCCGCCATGAGAGGCTACAATAAGCTTCACATGTATAGCAGTACGGTTGTAGTCTATGAAAGCATGAGATCTGCTGGAATTTTGATGGACCCTGCCTGTTATTGTCGAATTATGGAAGCTTACATGAAAATTGGCAACAGTGACAGAGTTCTCCATCTGTTTCAAGAATTTCAAACTAGTTGTAGGACGACGACCACAGTAAGAGGTTCAACCACCACTACTACCATTCCATTTTATACTCAACTTTCTTACAGAATTCTATGCCAGTCATTAGGCAAATCCGGGCGTGCTTTTGAAGCTCTTGAATTCTTCAGAGAAATGACAGACAAGGGTATTACAGCTGCAGAGGATCATTTGATTTACTCTTCACTCATCTGTTCATTTACAAGCATTCGACAAGTACAAGTAGCCGAACAGCTTTTCAAAGAAGCAGAGAGCAAGAAAATGTTGAGGGATCCAGCTGTGTTTCTCAAACTCGTACTGATGTATATTGAACAAGGGATGATGGAAAAAACTCTTGAAGTTGTTGCTGCTATGAAACGTGTCAAAATTAGAGTTTCCGATTGCATTTTCTGTGCCATTGTCAACGGCTTCTCCAAGAGGAGAGGGCTTAAAGCTGCAGCACAAGTTTATGAGGAGCTCATCTTGCAGGGCTGCCAACCGGGTCAAGTGTCCTATGCTTCCATCATAAATATCTATTGCCAGCTTGGGCTCAATTTCAGAGCAGAGACAGTGTTCTCTGAGATGATGCAGAAAGGGTTTGATAAATGTGTAGTGGCTTACTCTAGCATGGTTGCCATGTATGGAAAAACAAGTAGGCTGAGAGATGCAATGAGACTTGTGGCTAAAATGAAACAAAAAGGGTGTGAGCCAAATGTGTGGATTTATAATTCTCTCTTGGACATGCATGGAAGGGTCTTGAACCTGAGGCAGGTGGATAAGATATGGAAGGAGATGAAGCGAAGAAAGGTGGTACCTGACAAGGTTAGTTATACTAGCATCATAAGTGCCTATAGTAAAGCGAGGGAGTTTGAGAGCTGTATAAAATTTTATCATGAATTTAGGATTAATGGGGGAGTGATTGATAGAGCAATGGCAGGTATAATGGTTGGTGTTTTCTCGAAGATGAGTCGGATCGATGAATTGGTTAAACTCTTGCAGGATATGAAATCAGAAGGAACTAGTTTAGATGGGAGGCTTTATAGCTCAGCCTTGAATGCGCTGAGGGATGCCGGGCTTCAAATGGAAGAAAAATGGTTGCATGAAAGCTTTGAAGCTACATAAGCTACATACATGCTTGACTGTTGATGGAAAGCTGAAAGAGTATTCTATAATACAAAGTGATGGAAGATTCTTTGAGTTGAGAGGAAACATTTCTGAAGAGATTTCCTGTGCTAAATCATGCTCAATGTCCATGTGATTATTCATTAATTGTATGGTATTCCTATTTCATTAGCAACGAAAATAGAGAATTCAGAAGTTTGGTATTGTTTTAAAATGCCACACAGTGGAGGTCTTGACTGCAGGGTAGTTGCAAAACCCACATATTTCTGGAAACTCCAATTTCCCATGGTATGCAGTTGGAAAGAAAGTCTATTTATATATTTATTTTGCCTTTTTACTTCTTTCCTCTCCCTTCCTGAACACTTGCTGATCATTTCTACATTTACAAATTTGTACATTTACAAAGAGCAGAATAATTCCACTTTCTATCATTACTTGAAACATTACTGTCAGTGCATGAATTAATATGAAATAGTTGCTTCAAAGGAAACTACTTAACATCAAATGGAATTTGTCTCAAACATGACTAGTTGTTTTTCCCTGTAATCAGAAGCTACATGGGAATCTCCATGTTGGTGCATGAAAGAGGTACTCTAGCAAGTTCAAATGCAAGCTTATTGAGGTAGACAGAAATATTCTATACCATTTATTTTATTTTTTTATTTATTCCCTACATCTTTCACCACGTTTTTTTTTGCAATCACATCCCACACATGATCACGAGTAGCTGCCTCAGATGTTCCAGTTTCATTTAGCGTTGCACAGACTTCTCAAGCTCAGACTAAGAGGGGAGATAATTCGAAAACACAAATCCTCTCACATTTTGCAAGAAGCGAGTTCATTTCAACAGAACTAAGTATGTCTCCTTCATTGTTAGACGGAATATTTCTAGTTTTAGTTCTACCTTTTAGTCCATCAGGATCTGAGATTTTCTGAAGTAATGGGTTCCCATTGCTGTGGGCTGGGTGTGACTCCTATATTTGTATGGTACTTTCATACACATGGGAAAATCAAAAATAAAAAAGAAAAAAGAAAAAGATGGAGAGAGACAGAGAAGTGTAGTTCATTTAAACAGGTAAACAAATGCAATGATACCAGAATGCATACCTTTGGGTTCCCAAGAGTGCCACCATCAGTAGTTCTGGAAACAATCTCTTGCTGGGAGTCCCAAATATGTGGTGTGGTTACCATGGCAGACTGCCTTGATCTTCGGCCATGGCCCAAAGACCAATGACTGGCCCACTTTTCAGACTGAGTCCCAACCTACCTCCAGCCTAACCCTCTTAGGGGAGTCCATCAATGAGGCCAGAGTCTTATTGTGATCCCTGTAATTCTAAGCGGGAATACCTGAGGGCATAAAAATGACATGAAACAAGGTAGCTATACCAGATGAACCTATGTGATTATGAATGGAAGAAGACTGTCCAAGATACTATTCTACCTCAACACTTTTATCATCTGCATTGAAAACTCTGAAAATAAGAGAGAGAGGCTGAGAAGCAGATGATGAGCGTCCAAGAGACAATGTGCTGATTGCATCATGAGCGTCGAATCAAAGCCAGCTCCATCCATACCTCATCCAACAACCATCACACAACAAGCCACCGGCTAGCTCAGGTGGAATTAGGTCCACAACTACTGCTGGAACAACGGCAGCCTCTGCACCCACGAACGCCTTAGATCAATCAATCAAAATATAAATAAATCTAATGTAATGGCAATATGTAATGTGAGAGATGTAATAGAGTCAACACAAAATTTAGAAAGAGAAAATTGAATCCAATGGCCTCAGAAACCCTAAACCCTTACACATCATCATAATGATCTTAATATGATCTGGGCATGTAATTCATCACAAGCCTCCGATCAAATGAATTTTAACAATTACAATCTGTGAATGTGAGAGAGATATGATAAAGGCATCTTTTTTACCCATGAATTTTACACATCATCATAGGGGGGTCTTCAAAAGATCGCAGCTACCACCAAGCCATTGGCTCAGCTGGTATAACCGCTCTTCTCCAAAGGGAGGTAGGGAGGTGAGGCTTCAAGGCGTTTGTGGAGGAGCGTGTGTTTGTGACTAATTTATCTAACCAACAAGTCAACAACAACAACCAAAAAAAAAAAAAAAATGAAAAAAGAAGAAGAAGATCCCAGCCAGTATGGTTCACTGCAGGTCCTCGATCAAATGAAATTAAAGTAAATCTAGACTAGTGAGAGAGATATAATAAGGTCAAAATAAAATTTAAAAGCAAAAGACTCAAGAAAAAGGCTACAGCCCTAAATCATACACATCATAGGGGCATTAAAAACAAAAAAGATCTCAAGACAATATCATGCATTGCAGGCCTTCGGCTCACCAGTCATACGTATAAATTAATCTAAATAATGGCACCGTGCAAATGCAAGAAATTTGTAATAAAGTCAAGTTAAAATTTAGAAAGAAAAAACTAAATTTAAATGCTTCAAAAACCCTAAGGCATGCATATCCTCAAAGGGGTCTTAAAAAGATCTCAGATAGTATATTATTCATCACAGGCATTCGATTAAATGAAATTTAAGCAATCTATATAATTGCAATATCTGAATATTAGAGACATAATAGAGTCAAGCAAAATTTGGGGAAAGAAAAGACCGAATATAAAGGCCTCAGAAACCCTACACCACACATATCCTCATAGGGGTCTTAAAAGATCTCAGATGGTATATCATTGATCATAGGAAAATGAAATTCAAGCAAATCTAGAATAATTGCAATATGTTAATGTGAGAGAGATGTAATCTGTTGTAACAAAATTTAAAAATAAAAGACTCAATATAAAGGATATAAAGGCCTTAGAAACTCTAAACCTTGCACATCATTAAAGGGGTCTTAAAAAGATCTCAGATGGTATATCATTTGTCACAGGCCTTCAAACAAATAAAGTTTAAACAAAGCTACAATAATAGCAAGATGCGGTTGTGAAAAAAGATATAATAAAATCAAAACAAAATTCAAAAGCAAAAGATTGAATACAAAGGCCAATAAACCCTAAACCCTACAAATCATGGGGAGCCTTAAAAACATAGAATATCTTCAAAATATATCATGCATAACAGGCCTTCAATCTATCACTCCTAGATATAAATTAATCTAAAATAATGGTGCAAATGTAAGAGAGTAGTAGTATAGTCGAAACAAAATTTAGAAAGAAAAAACTGAATTCTCTTTTGAATTTATTGATCATTAGTTCATTACAAATAATTGAACTAAAATATTGTATGAAAAATGAAAGTATGATTTCTTCTATTCTCCTATGATAATTGGAGGATTTTTTATTGGGCGAGTTCAAAGATAAAGAGGGACTATTATTATTATTATTATTTTTGGTCTACCTTACTTTAGTGTGTGTGTATATATATATATAACTCAATGCAATTACCTCCACAACATAATTAAACATTGACATACATATTTACATATCTTCCTGTAAGTTTAGTTTTCTCAAAGATCGCATATTTTTCAAACGAATGGGATTATACATTTCCATGTGGAAAGAGGGGTGCGTGAAATTATTAATACAACGAGCTGAAACAACAAAAGCAGACTAAAGTAGTAGTAATTAAAATTTTAAAGATAAACCTGCAAGTAAGAATCGTCCGTCCCAGTCCCAGTCCCAGTCCCAGAGCGAACCGGAGAAACGAGGAGACCATGCTCTGCTGTTCCGTAGCGCTCCATTTTTATCGAGTTTTATGGGCCTTATTTTTGGGCCTTTTATAATGAAGCTTTAGTGGGCTTGTAAAATAAGTGGGCCAAAAGTAAAAGGTCAGCAAGTGAGTGCCTCGTTCCTTAACCAACAGTTTTCGGTTATTCGCTTGTGCCGAACCGACCCAACTTTTCTGGATCCGATTGGAGATTCTCCCTCTCTATCATCTCTGTCTCTCACACACACAAACACACACATTCTCTCTGACTCATTCGCAATCAGGAATCGAATCGATTGATTCCATGAAAATGGCGGCCTTCTCACCATTACCATTTATTTGGTTCTCATCAACCCTTGTAAAGGAAGCTCGTGGGTCAGAATCTTCACCACCAAATCATTTTCTCTCTCTACGGGGTTAGGGTTTTAACATGTATTGATAGATAGGTTGGGTTCAGTAATAGTAGTAGAAAGATTTTCAATTATTTAGTAATTCAAATGAAGCGCGCGTTCGTCGAAATCTCGGACGAGGAATGGGAAAATCACTCTTTCGACCCGTCGCGGGTTCTCAAGACTTCGAATAACCCGCCTCCTATCGAATCCTTCGCCTACGCTTCCGCCTCCACAAAACACGACAATAACTCCGATCACAGCACCGACGACGATTCAGTCGTCGATATCACCGACACTTGCGTGCAAACTTTGGAAGATGAAGACTACGATGATAGTGTGGGGGTGAGGGAAGTTCGGCCTGGCCGCAGATTTGTGGTTGACGAGGAAAGCGATGACGATTTTGCCCAAGTGATTGAAGTGAAATCGACAGAGGATGACAGTGATCTAGGGTTTGAGGACGAAGAAGAGGAGCTGGAGCTTGTGGAGGAGGCTGATGTTGTTGGAAAGGCTTTGCACAAGTGCGCAAAGATATCGGCAGAACTACGGAGAGAGTTGTACGGTTCATCCACACCGGCTTGTCATCGGTATGCTGAAACTGAAGCAGCTTCTTCAATGAGGATGGTCACTGAGGTCAATTTTCAAATTTTCTTTCTCCTTGCTGAGAATACTGGGGAAATTAATACTGTAGTTTTGGGAATTTTAAAATATCCCAACTTTAGTTTGTTTTGGCTGCATTTTCACGGATGCTAAACAGAGCATTTGGTTATTGATTTAATCTCTAGTTTTACTTCCATTAATGCAGAAGGATGTACGTGCAGCTTTTGGGGCAGATGATTCGGATTTTCAGCCCGTTCTCAAACCATACCAACTCGTTGGTGTCAACTTTCTTCTTCTTTTGAATAGGAAGAGAATTGGGGGAGGTAATCTTTCACGTGCTTGTAAGCATCTTACACAGGGTGTTGGTGTCTCTACTGGTAGGAAAGGCATGTTGCCATGGGCTGCGCGACAGACATGTAACATTGCTTTATGCTCTGTTGCCCTTGACACATGTACTTAAATTATTTTTGTATTCAAATTATTTTTCTTTCTTCTCTTTGCCAGTCTTGAAACCTTGACTCGGGGCTTGGGAGTTAAGACCCAAAGCCACCAAGACCAAAGGTAGACTAGTTAGACAGTTAAATTTTTATGAATAGTTTTCTAGAATCACGACTCAAAATATGGGTAATGTTTCCTTCTATCAGTACAAGTAAATTGTAATTTTGCATGTTGAGGGGTTCGTTAGTTACTCAGTTGGGTAAGTGCTGAGACTGTATCTCTATATGTTGGACCTCTTCGACCTACTTGCAGTTTGAGACTAGTGCCAGCGGCCTTGTGCCTTTATTAGTATATGTTTGTTGCCTAATAAAAATCAGATCATGTTCCATTTTCATTTCTTGTTTATAACTTGTTGGGTCACTTGTGTGCCCCTGCATTGCTTTCACGTGCGTACGAGTGCAGATAGTAACTAGACACATGGTGATGAGTGGAACTATTTACAAGTTCTTGCATTAAATAAATAAAAAATTAACAATTACGGATTCTGAGGTAGATCCTGCATCAGTGGCAATGGGTACTTTCTTCTCATAGTGGATTGCCTTGATTGAACAAGATTCCATGGTATTTACCAATCACAATATTTTTTGCACAAAATGTCTGCCTTCATTTGTGTGATTGATTATCCTCTTTTATTGATTACTGCAATTGAATGGCTTGTTAAGACAATTAATCAATCCCCTGTAGGTTGGTTTGAGAATACTTAAGATTCATACCTTTTTACTGAGAAACACTCCCTCTCATTTTTTGCTTGGGCTTCAACATGCCTTCAGTGTCTTGGTGTTAGATTCATCTAATCCTCAAAATTTAAGATGTGCCTGTGGAGACATGGCTGAACTATGAAGTGCCTTATTCTTCTTCATATATGACATTTAGGAAAATGGTGTGAACGTGTTATGTTTGACGTTGATATGTTTGCTAATTTTGAAGTAGCCATGCGACAAAGGGCACTTTAAGATATATTGTATTCTTTATTTTGGCAGACATGCCATGTTACATTCCTGCAGAAGATGTGTTTCCCTTCGTGTTGTTAATGTATATAAATTGATAATATTGGATACCTTTATCATTTGAGTAATGATACGGAGTTTGACAGTCAGCCCCTCCCCAAAAAAAATAAAAAATAGAAAACAAATATCACTACATATCATAAAATATGTGCTGTTTATCTTGCCCCATTATATCTACCTTTTCTATCCTTTTTACTCATGTAAAAATGTCTTAAGCTGCGTCTTGGATGTTTGATATATCGTATGGGAAATATATTGTATTCTAGGTGTGACTCCACAAGTAACTGATGCCTCAAATTTTTTTATTCCCTGCAGCAATATTGGCAGATGAGATGGGTCTTGGCAAGACCATTCAGGTAGTTTGGTCTCTGGATTCCCTCGCCTTTGTATTCATACAGATTGTAAATTTCATCTTTTAAATGACAAGAAAATTATGGTTTGTGACGTTGCTCATATTGAACAGGCTATAACATATTTAACCTTGCTGAATCATTTGGACAATGATCCAGGTCCCCATTTAGTAGTATGTCCTGCTTCTGTTTTGGAAAACTGGGAAAGGGAGCTCAAAAAGTGGTGTCCGTCATTTTCTGTGCTCCAATATCATGGGGCTGGGCGATCGGCTTATTCGAAAGAGTTGAGCTCTTTATCCAAGGCTGGATTACCACCACCATTTAATGTTATTCTTGTGTGTTACTCACTTTTTGAACGACACAGGTTTGCATTGCCATGTTTTACATGCCAGTGTTTGTATATCTGATTTCATGTTGTTTTACATGCCAATATCTGTTTATCATTGGTGCCCTTTCCACAGTGTGCAACAGAAAGATGACCGCAAAACTTTGAAACGTTTGCCGTGGAGCTGTGTGCTTATGGATGAGGCTCATGCTTTGAAGGATAAAAACAGCTATAGGTGGAAAAACCTAATGTCTGTTGCACGGAATGCAAAACAGCGTCTGATGCTGACGGGGACACCACTACAGAATGATCTACATGTATGCTGCCAGTGAAGGCCTTTTACTCTTAGTGATCACTTCCTATAAATTACTAAAACTGATATTAGGCATCGTATTGAACCCATGAATGATGCTTGCTTTGCCTGGACATTATACCAAGTTGCTTGTAGGATGTCTACTAATGGTTTATACCTAAGAATAGCTACAATGAAGAGGGAAGGACGATATTTTGTTGGAGAATGATGCCTATATTCCTCATATGTCTTGGGTAAATGTTATATATAGAAGCTAAGTTGTCCAGATTAAAAATAAATAAAACAGAAGACATTGCATAAACACTTATATTTTGGGCCAGTTGTATATAAATGACACCTCAGTTGAATCGCTTGTCAAATTAATATTATTTTGATATTCTTCCTTTCAACCTTCTGAATAATTTCCAGCTTCTTGTTCCTGCCATGAGATTTTTATGAAATATGAGGCGCCACTGCAGTTTTTTTATTTTTTTTCATTTTTATTTCTTCCTTTTTAGCCCTGTGCACCATGGTAGCTGGTGAAACTGCTTGAGTTCCATGTGGCAGACTTTGTTGTCCCTTAATATGTTATTGAATTCCTCGCATTAATTGTGCACCCATGATTGATCTAGTAATGCACTTATCTTTGCCTTTTCAGGTTATTCTCTTTATCTTGGATTATGATCCTTCACCTTGTTTAGTAGTGTGATGTAGGCATGTTCCCTGGGTCTAGGGTGCAATGATTGATGCCTTCTGTAGAGTTTATTCCATGTTTCATTGCTAATGTTTCATTTATATCCAAGCTTCATATGTGCCTTTAATCATTTACCGAATGGCGTAACTGTAAAATAAGCCAAATGCTGTAACGGTAAATATGTCAATTAACCAATGGCTGGAATAACATAATATAATGATTTCCATTAAAATTTCTGTTGTGACAAATACCACGAACCAAGAACAAATCAGGAATCAAACAGAAAAGTAAACACACCACACACAAAGATTTACGTGGTTTGGCATAAAGCCTACATCCACGGTGAAAATCCGGCGAAAGATTTCACTATACGAAAATTAGGAGATTTCCAAACCCTAGCTCGCTCTCTCTCTCTCTCTCTCTTGCGGCTTTCAGTGTTCTCCCTCTCCAAACCCTAAACACGCGGCTACAAGTGTCCTAAACAGGGTCAAGAGCCACAAGAGAAAAACAAGGCAAATTTTTTTTTTCCCATTCTATTTTTCAAGTTAAAAACAGGCCGAAACAAAATTCTGGACACAACATCACAATTTCTTATATTGAACATTTGTTCAGGCTTGTTATCCGAAGTCAATCTTTCCAAGCAAAGGTTTGAAATTTAGAAGTGATTTTTTTTCCATGGGACATTTACAAGTGAAGTAGGTATTAACGGACTTGCAAAAATTGAGTCTCTTGCAATGTCTTCTTTGATAAGTGTGTTATTATTGCAGGAGTTGTGGTCATTGCTGGAGTTTATGATGCCTGATATTTTTGAAACTGGAGATGTGGACTTGAAAAAGCATTTAAATGCAGAAGATAGGGATTTGATTGCTCGTATGAAGTCCATTATGGGACCCTTTATTTTGAGGCGTTTAAAATCAGATGTAATGCAGCAGCTAGTTCCAAAGATACAGCGGGTAATTAGACGTTTATTTCCCTGGTTAAGTTTCCAAATCAAATGGAGTTTTTGTGAAGCTTTTTACTTTATGGCTTAATTTGGAAGTTCTTTTACTGGTTTCACTTGTTATTTACTTTTGAAGGGCGGAAATGTCACTGCAGGTTGAGTTTGTGAAGATGGAAAAGAAACAGGATGATGCCTATAAAGAAGCCATTGAGGAGTATCGTACAGTTACTCTGGCCCGTATTTCAAAGGGTTTGGATATTGATTCCAATAATGTTATTGGCATTCTTCCTCGGCGCCAAATTTCCAATTACTTTTTTCAGTTCCGCAAGGTGCATTTTTTCTTTACATTTTGATGCAGTTGATTTAGATTTGATTGTGTATACTAAATGCATATGTTTGTTTTGATTGTTGTACTTTCCCTTGTTCCAGATTGCAAATCATCCTTTACTTGTGAGGCATATCTACTCTGATGAGGATGTTGTTTGTTTTGCTCAGAAGCTGCATCCACAAGGTGTGTTTGGGTTTGAATGTACCTTGGATAGAGTAATTGAGGAGCTTAAGAGTTACAATGACTTCGCCATTCACCGGGTAATTTTTTGAAGTGCCTCTTTGTTTTTTTTGTTACTTCTAATGGCATGGCATTGCTTGTCCAAATGAATGCAAGTAACTGGAATTGTACACTTCTCTAAAACACAGGGAAGAGTGGTGTATTTTTATTTTTTTTGTTCTCGTATTTGCAAGAGAATAAATTGTACATATACATTTTGTACCATGAGATATTTTATTAATGTAGATTGTTCTGCTGCAACTGCAATGATAACCTGGACTCGAACCGGTTGAATGCATTATCCAAATTTTGTTTCTGAAATCGAGTTCCTTGGACTTAAACCAAATCTATAACGCTTCCTCTTCAAAAGCATGTTTCAGATATTCTCAGGAAAGAGTTCTTGGATGCATACATAATTTGGTGGGTTTTCTGACATATAAAAGCATGTTCCAGATATTCTCAGGAAAGAGTGCTTGGCTGCATGCATAATTTGGTGGTTTTCTGACATATAGAAATTTTTTTGAGGTAAAAACATATATAATATGTATAATATATTTACCTAAAAGCATTATATTTTTTAGAAAGAATTCACTTGAATTGTGAATATTCTTGTTTCTTTTCATAAATTTACTTGTCATCCGTCAAATTCATTGCAATTTTTTTGTTGAATAGGGTGCGCTTTGTTCGGCTATTATCTGTTCTAATTATATAAAAATAAAAATAATAAAATAGCGAGGCTATTGACTTTAACAATGTGCAACACATGCAAACCTGAACTCCAAATCTGCCATTTAAGGGGAAAAAAGTGTTTTTATATATATATTTGGAAAAAAAAAAATGACACTTCACAAAGTGAAGAAATCGTGTAGCTTGAGAAATCATCTAAGGACAAAGGATAAAGAGAGACTAAGACAAAATTAAGACCAGAAAAACTTATCAAAAAAAAAAAAATAAAAAAAAAATAATTATGACCAGAAAAAACTTGAGCTAATATACGAAACCACAAAACCAGAAGAAAACTGTTTTATTTTTATAGAGAGAGCAAAAATTAATTTTCAGTTACTTTAATGACACAATAATATATTGGATTTGATTACAAATGTAACTTGTCCAGGACTCTGTTAGTACCCTTTAGATGTGAGTACATGGTTTTGTTTGTTTTTTGGTATTTGTTTTTAAAATAGAGATCTCTGATCATTTTAATATCTTTTTCATTTATATATTATTCTCTTTTGAAATCCTTGTGCATTTTGTACTATTAGTTACTTTTTGGTTGATACTGGTTTGTATTCTGGCAATTAGGTATATTGTAATTACTGTTACCAAGCCTTGTACTCATAGTTAAAACCCTGTAAGAAGATCTATGTATTGAGTAGGTATAACCTAGGCAACCTGTACTATATTCTGGGATTGTTTAAATGGGGTTTATTCAGTTATGCCCGAGTTACTTATGTTGACACTAATTTATGTTTTAACTACCTCTTAGCAGCTTTTACTTTATTATGGTGTCACTGGTACAAAAGGAATTCTTTCAAATGAGCATGTTATGGTTTCGGCAAAATGTCAGGTACATTTTCAATAAATTTACATTACTTGAGTCAAATTCTGAAAAGGGTAAATAGCATTTGATACCTTTTTCTCACATTAAGAGTTTTGAATTGCTGTGTCCATGATAATAGGTGTTAGGCAAACTTCTCCCTTCACTAAAGCAAGGTGGGCATCGTGTTTTGATTTTTAGCCAATGGACGTCAATGCTTGATATCTTGGAGTGGACTTTGGAGGTAATTGGGGTTACTTACCGACGCCTTGATGGAAGGTACCACTGCATTTCTATTTTGTGACTGCAACTCCTTTTTGTAACTTGATTCTCATCTTTGAACTTAGATACGTCTGTCATCTGGCATATCCATCCATATCCATATTTGTTGGACCCCTTTGTGTGGCCCTGGTGAACAATCAAGATTGTGTTATACTTCTCTCTTCTTCTTCTTCTTTATTTTTATTTTTTTATTTGAGTTCACTTATTAGGGTCTAGTGTATCTTTTTTTTTTTTCCTAGTTGGGACTCGACACACACTGCCTCCACTGAGGTTCGAACCCCTGACCTCCCTTTGGGAAGTAGGAGCCTTGTATTGCTAGGCCACAGGCCTGTTGGAGGAACATTCTTTATGATTACGTCCATTGTAAATTTCTCATTTTATGCATTTGGTTAATAATAGCTTGAGATAATATTTAGTGGTTTATTCGAGTTGCATAATATGCACTTCAAGTTATTATAATGATTTTTTACACATTTCTTGTAATGCCAGTACTCAGGTGGCAGACAGACAAACAATAGTAGATACATTCAATAACGACACTTCGATATTTGCATGCTTGCTGTCCACGAGGGCGGGAGGGCAGGGTTTGAACTTGATTGGAGCTGATACAGTTGTCATACATGACATGGATTTTAACCCTCAGATCGACCGACAAGCTGAAGATCGCTGCCATCGCATTGGCCAAACAAAACCAGTTACTATATACAGGTTCCTTTACCCATACATTTATTTTGGCCCGATTACCCTTTTAATGTTGCAATTACTTATGGTTATATGGTTCCTTCAACTGCTTAAAATTGTGCGCAGGCTGGTGACCAAGGATACGGTTGATGAAAATGTTTATGAGATTGCAAAACGGAAGCTAGTATTGGATGCAGCTGTGCTCGAATCTGGCGTAGAAGTGGACAGTCGAGGTGACATGTCTGACAAGACCATGGGAGAGATATTGTCAAAACTGTTGCTGGGATAAATACCGAGTTATTATTATTATTATTTTTTTTGTGACATTTTTGGGCTGGGGGAAGAGTGTGGGGACATGCAGCAGTTATATCTTTTGTCCTTTCAGTTGAAAGGCCATTGTTGTACTAGTTAGGCTTATTTCAGAAAAGTTTTGATTGCAATTGATGGTATATGTATCTGCAGTGTGGGCGTAAATTATTCTAGTTCATGTACAAAAAATGAATTTCAATAAGCGACATTTAAAATAGATGCATTTTATTTTCATGGTTTCTGAACTTCATCTGGGTTGCTCCGGAACAAGGCAAGCACTGTTTGATACCTCAGTTAAGTAGCCAACAAAACATGGCAACAAATCAAGGCCAACGCCACAGAAAATTATACCCAAACCAGCAGGAAAAAGAATACACTACTACAGACTTCGTATAAAAAAGATGAGCAAGAAAAAAACAAACGAGAAAAAGAGAGGATAAAATGCACCAAACACCGTAGACAAGAATCAAAATGCTAAAGCCTCAAATACAGCTGCTTTAGCAACTGAACAGCTTCAATTCCGCGCTATTCTCCATAAGCAGCAAGTGAACAAATTTCTCAGGAATTTGTTCCTCAGCACTTAATCCCAATGAAGAAGATCAACAAGCCAAGACCAGACCCGATTCAAAGAACAAATGCTCCAAAAAAAATCCACACCCTTCAAACAATTATGGCACACTCTGAAACTGATCCCTCTCTTTTGCAAATTATGCACAGGAATTTTATTTTGCAAAATAACAGAGCCTGTAAAACTAGTAGAAGGCCTTCCTCGATTCCAGACTAGTTTAGCCAAGTCCTTTTTGGCAGAATGAAATGTACATAAATTTCGAAAGGTTACAAAATTACGATCCCCTTTCTTTAGAGAAATACCACCAGGTCCTTGATGCAAATGGATTGAAGCAATTAACTACCCTTTGAATATGTTACATCAATAACTCCACAGTAAAGTGTCAAATGAGCCAAGGTGAACAAAGTAAATATCAGTTGGAAGTTATTTGGTCATGCAGTGTCCGGGGTCAGCTATAACTCCTGTTGAGCTCCCCACAAAGTAAAGATCATCTTGGCTTGTCTATAATTGAGTGCACAAGCTCTTGGTTCATTTAATTTAACAAGTCAACAACAGGCTTGAAAATAACCAGTTATAAAGTACAATGTTAACGAAGCCAAAGGTTGTTTCGAGTACACGCATTTGATAGATGAGCCTATAAATGGTTCTCCATCGCCACTTCATCCATTTAACCGAAAAATAAATAAGTGCTGAGTTATGCCAAACATGATTTTGTGAACAAATCATTTTATGAAAAATTTAACAACTCTCTTAATTTGACAAAGAAACTGGCTGCTGAGTTAAAAAATGGGAATATGATGGAAATTATATCCAATTACAGAAAAACTGCATTAATGAAAGAACATATAGCAGATCCTCCATGGATAACCACGATGTCGCCTAACTGTTGAATTCATAGATGCAAGTACAGGTGTAATGTTTTATACCTACTTCAAATTAGAGAAAACCTTACTATCTTATCTAATTTATGATTCTATTACACCAGGGTTTACTTCCCTAGAATGGAATTTCCAATATAGAACCTGTCAAACATCAGGAGAAAAAGGTATACATACATTATTCACCTGCAAGCACAGAAAAAAACATTACATCAGTATCACCGCAAGTTGAAAAAAGATCCGGTCACCCATCAAATTTGCCACATCATGTCAGAAGAGACTTGTAGTTGCATCAAAATAAAATCACAACAAAAGTAAGGAAAACTGATAAAATTTCTAAAATATATGTGCTTCTAGGTGACAAAGGTACAACCCCTGGTAGCATGATGTCGCACCATTATTGATTCCTAGTGAAAACTGGTAATGAGTGCACCCAAATGAAAAATTAAAACCAGACTATGTAAGACGTAAGAGAACCAAAATTATGTGGCAGAACATACAGTGCTGAAGGCATGTTATGCATTGCGTTTGAACTCTCTCTGGACCTGTGCTTCCGTTTCTTACTACTGAATCAATGAATTATCACGAGAGAGAAGATTGGATTAACAATAATCACTACTACACACACAGACACGTGATAAGCAAAAATGGTTCCTTCTATATATGTCAAGTGTAAATATAGTACTTGTCATGTGAGCCAGGATCCCGACATGATTTGAGCTTCCGGTCAACACGCTTCATATCCGCAGCAGTCGGGGTCTCAAGTTTACTTGCCTATAATGAAAGCCAGCAAAAAGTTAAAAGTAGGTATGTGGAGCTAACAGAACCATGGAAATGCTTGGTTCAGTGTTTTGAGAGCAATTTTCTCTCCCCAAAGATGAAAAGAACCAAAAAAGTATATCTAAAATCCATTTGGTTGACTGAGCTAAAACAAAATTTCAGAAAAGCCTTTCTGTTTCTCTGGAAACAGCTAAAATATCTTGTTCTTCTGAACTATTTTTAGAGAACAGAGTTAAAATAGGAATAATATAGCCAAGAAAAAGAAGAAAAGAAGTATGCATCATAACTAAATTGAATTACAATTGACTTGATATAGTCATACCAAAAAATCAATGGCATTCAGAGGAACAGTGAGCTCTGAGATGGTGTGTGCAGGATGCTGGTGAGAGAGGATGCTCCCAAGATATCTGCACAGAAATCATTTGACAAAACAAAACAATTTTTTAGCCAAGAAAGGTAGGTGAGCTGCAAGAAATTAATTTGTTAAATACTTGCAGAAGCAATTCAAACCTCTCAAAGTCAAAAACACCATGAACTTCATTTGACTTGCGCAAAGCAGCCAATGCCAACTGCACCAAATTAATGGAGAGACACATATAATAGGAACTATGAAACTATATAGAGAACAGACCATGGTATCAAACCACAATCCAAATCTGAAAACTGAAAGTTCCCCAGCAAAAGTCCTAGGCTATTTTTAAAATCAGGGGTCAGTGCTTGGTGCAGTGGTAAAAGCTCGGGCTGACAAGCTTGAAGAGAGAGATTCAAGTATGAGAACAGTCACTTTGTGCAAAATATATCCAAAAGTTAGGGGCCTGATTCATTTTATTCTCTCCACTATCTTTTCCAACCCAGGGATGTTGAAGCCTGTATGATCTCCCTTCAAGAACCTTAAAGATAAAGAGCCATAATCATGTGTCATGAACGTTTAGATATTGCAATAAAGTAATTGTAAGTTCGTTGTGTAATAAGAACAATTTATGAAAAAGTATTGAATTCATACATCCAGGGCATTGGTTCCCTTGTCCATCAGATCGAGTTTTGTTACCACTCCAAATGTTCTTTCACCTAGAAATACCAAATAAAATATATAAAGGATTGATACATAAATAAATTGTTGGGCTTGTATACAAATGTTCCCATTAATAGACAAGAAAATTACACCACCAATTTCACTATACCACTAGAATCAACTTCTTTTGCAAGCTTTATAGCATCAGAAGTGGCCATAGCTTGATTTGCTGGAGAAATGGCCAATATAATGCAATTGGGCTACAAAAACAGTGAAATCCATTAGATGACCAATGGAACAAAAAACGAGTTGATTATGCAGTGGAATACCTAAATCCTTATCAATTTAGAGACTGGTTCCATGATGAAAATTGATTTTAATTCCCACAAAGCAGATAACAGAATAATACATGTTCCCATACACAAAAATGAAAATGATATAAAAAATGACGTTCTGATCTAGTCTTCTGCGACATCAGCAGAGAAAACTCACACTTTTAGTTATCATGGTTGCTCTCTATGTTGACCAAAAAGGATCAGGTCTTCAAACTAATCTTCTTAAACGAACAACCATGATTCAGCCAACAACATAGTGGTCTTTTCCAAAGCAATGCCCTCCCAACCCATGGGCCAAAATAATCAGAGTGCCATTCAAGTGTCCTAGTTATTATTTCATCCGGTACTATTATTCAGCTTGCTTACATTCCCCAATCTCCCTCAACACCTCAGCATTGCGCTGATTTACCATCACTAAGACTCAAAAGCTTAAGAGAACTTTCTGTTCTACTCAATAAATAAGAGTAATGGTGCATTTATGGGTGTGTTATATATTATATCTGTATTTTCACACTACATTTTATAGTCAACTATATACGTAAAACCATTATATATAACCGTCAGCATTGCTCTCCCCTCAATAACGCATACACTTAACATATCAGTATCTTCATGTACATAGATAGTTGTTACCAAAAGACCATTCTCACCAAACATGCCCCACAAGTTGGAGGCTAGGTTTGAGTGCATACTCATGACTGGATTATAATTCTAGTCTTAAGAACAATGCCTTAATCCCATTTCCTTGGAAATATTAAAAAGTATTCTAGATCTAGTAAAATGGAAAGATCTTAATACCATCAAATTTTCCCTTATAAACACAAATATTTCTCTGAAGTAAATATTCCTCGAGTCTTTCCAAAATTTTTGATTATACAAGTGCTTATTTTCCCATTATAACAACATCTACTCATTTGCTAGGAAATCAAATGGCTGATCCTCTAAGTTTCTGGAGTCTGGGATTTCTGAAGCATTCATCAACACTTCGTAGCTGTTAGAATGGTTATATTTGGGGCACACTTGTAATTAGCTTACCCCACATGGGTATTTTAGTCTTTTTCCTTGACTGTAGCTATAATTATAGGATTAGATTAGCTGACTGATCTCTTGCATAGTTATTGAAATTATTCTTCCCTGATTGTAGCCACTGTAATTATTCCTCCTTGACTGTTACCACTTTGACTGTAACCTACCACATTCTCATGCCTATGTAAATGGCCTTATGTACTGTTCATGATTTATGGAATTCAATACAATATGCAATTTTCCATCTCTTCTAACACTAGCAACTGGAGGTAAATTCTAGATTCATAGACTCAACTTAATAAATGGTCTCACCTTCTCAACATAAGAAGGGACCATGTTATCAATATCTTCAACAATAGTCTCTGGCTGTCCTTATGCAAAAAGCAAAAACTGTTGTAACTAAAAAAATTCCAGTAATTCTTATCAAAAGAAAGCATGAAAAATATAACTGAGATACGAACCCACGGCAACCTTTGTCAACCCAGGCAGATCTATTAGTGTTAAGTTTACAAGTGCAACACAAAACCATGCACTTGATAAGTGTTGTCAAGCATAAAACAGAAAGTAAAGAGAGAAATGAAACATGAAGAACGGATATTACGTGGTTCAGCCATTCGGGCCTACATCCACGGCACGAGACCAAAGGGCTATGTGGCGACCTTGTGGGCGGGTGTGTGTGAGCGTGTGCAAGGGGCACCAGTAGGCTACCACACTGGGCGAGCTACAGGTGCATAATCCCACATCGTCTGGGTGTGGATGGGGTAAGTGCTATATGTAGATTCAACACCCTTCTATGACACAACGCGTTTTAAAGCCGTGATCGCCGTGAACCCATCAGAACTCTGTAGTTAAGCGTGCTTAACTTGGAGTAGTACCAGGATGGGTGACCCCCTGGGAAGTCTCTGGTCTGGGTGAGCCAAAAGCAGACAATATTGTGTCTGGCCAGGGTGAGGGTCGTTACAAATGGTATCAGAGCCTGACCCAGCCGGAAGTGTGGCCAACGAGGACATTGGGCCCTAAAGGGGGGGTGATTGTGGCGACCTTGTGGGCGGGTGTGTGTGAGCGTGTGCAAGGGGCACCAGTAGGCTACCACACTGGGCGAGCTACAGGTGCATAATCCCACATCGTCTGGGTGTGGATGGGGTAAGTGCTATATGTAGATTCAACACCCTTCTATGACACAACGCGTTTTAAAGCCGTGATGGCCGTGAACCCATCAGAACTCTGTAGTTAAGCGTGCTTAACTTGGAGTAGTACCAGGATGGGTGACCTCCTGGGAAGTCTCTGATCTGGGTGAGCCAAAAGCGGACAATATTGTGTCTGGCCAGGGTGAGGGTCGTTACAGGCTACATCACTTTATAAAATATTCTCTCTTAATCTTTGTATATAATGATCACCTCTATTTATACCTCTATTTATAGGTAAAAGAATAGAGGTGATAAATATGGAAAATCATATCAAATATTATGTCAATGAGTAATTGAAGGGTTCCTATAATAATATTTTCCAAATATAACATCTTCTAACACTGCCCGTCAAGCTGAAGGGTGTATGGAAATAATGCTCAACTTGCATATCAAATCATGAAATAGATCATTTTCCAACAATTTGGAAAAAGACAACAAAACTGCTAGAGACATGGTGAATGCGAAGAACAATGCTACCAAACACACCGGTAGCCCAAATAAGTCCACATAGCACCAAACACATGGCGAAGGTTACGAACAATGCTACCGAACACACCGGCAGCCCAAACAAGTCAATAAAAACTGCTGGAGACACGACAAAGGCGAGGACAATGCCACTGAACACACCGGCGGCCCAAATAAGTCGATAAAAACTTCCGGAGACACAGCAAAGGCAAAGAACATTACTGCCGAACAAACTGGCAGCCCAAATAGGTCACAAATAGCACCGAGAAACCCTCAGCAACATTTAAGATGCTAAGAAATTAGGCTCTGATACCATGTGTTCAAGCATAAAATAGAATTGAAGAGAGAAATGAAACACGAAGAACACAAGGATATTACGTGGTTCAGCCACTAGGGCCTACATCCACGGCACAAAGAGCGCAAAGGGCCACATCACTTTATAATATATTCTCTCTTAATATTTGTATACAATGATCACCTCTATTTATAGGTGAAAGAATAGAGGAGATAAATAGGGAAAATACATTAACGAAAGATTCCTAAAATCAATACCATAAATCACTCCAATCAATATTCTATCATAGGCTAAAATCTCTCTAATGATATTCTCATATCAAATATTTTGTCAAGGAGTAATTTACGGGTTCCTATAATAATTTTTTCCAAATATAACATCTTCTAACAAGAAGTCATAATTCCAAACTAAAGTGAGTTGAAAAAAATAAGTAAAATATGTTCAAGCTATGTTTGGCTGGCATGGAATTGGAATTGGAATTGGTGGAATTAGAGAAAAACAACTCAAAAAATTGAACCAATTTTTTTTTCAATTCCACCAATTTCAATTCCAAGGGTCCACTTCCATGCCGCCAAACACATCCTCAGATGACAAGTCAGAGATCAGAGGGTAATGTATCATACATAATGTCACAGCCCATGATTCTCGAAAATGCTAATGCATTAAAGTGGCAAGGTCCTCGACAAGTGCTCGCACTAAAAGTAAAGAAACTGATGAAGTATGAAGGAAGCATTAAAAACTTCATGCCCAGGCGGTTTCATGTCTAAGCATTGTCTGTTATTATTCTCTTGGGAGTCAAATCCTTAAAATTTATAGATTACGTTGAATGACAAGAAATCCGTGTAAGATAGCTGGCAAGAAAAATAAGCCAAGATGATTTGTCTGATATTTAAGACTAATACCTATTTCACTCTGCACCTAAGTTATAAACTCTAGTGTTGTATTTCAGGTCCCTTATTGTGATACCCCTCGGATCCGAGACACGGGTTGATCAGGCCCAGGCCCAAACCCGAGGGAATATTAAACAATTAATATTTTATAATGAACACGGAATACAAAATGAATTAAGAAATGAAATTAAAGCTGAAAGGAACTAAAAATAGAATCCGCAAAATATTATAATTATTAAAATCCATCAAACCCAAACTCCAAAACTCCATCAGTTTACAACTCGGGAATCCATCTCTAGTGGACCCCTATTAAACATCCAAACGAAAGATAAAACAACTGTAATAAACATCCAGAAATAAAACTATGAAGAAAATCCTACATCGTCGGAAGAGTGAATAGAGACCTCTGCTCAGCACGAACACGTCTAAGCCTGGAACTGTCGTGTACCTGAAAAATAGAAGTGGGTCAGGCCCACGCGCAAATTCTATACTACTACAATCCAAGCAGAGGCCCGATACGCATGTACATCCTAAACAATTCAACAATAGCTAATAGTCCGTAAATATATATATAGTCACACTAAAGGACTCTCACTGGACTACAGGCCGGTCTCAACCTGAATAGAGGTAACATGCTAAAACGCACACGAAGTGGGCATATGTACCTATACCTAAACAGGGTACACCTCTAACCATCGTATCCAGCTATGCATCCCAATGCATATACGCTTCCTAACCGTCGATCCTGAGACTCAAGCTCATATCGAGGTACCATAACAATATATTTAAAGTCCATCCCGAATCCTAGTAGTGCCGCTCAACTAGTCGTTGCCATGACACTACAATCAGTAGGACTTAACTTTTAGTTAAGTCGATTCTTAATCCAGAGTAGGTAGGTTTTGGTGTTTTGAATCCAAACCGTCCCTAGTATGCCACCGTCCCATACCGGTGCATACTCCAACCATCCAGCAGTTGATAAACTTACACTTAAGGTAAATATCAACTAAATCCATGTTTCCAACAATTGATACTGTCAGTGATAATGAAGGCATCAAAACAAAATTTCAGCATTTTCATAAATACACTTAATGTATAGTGTTTTATAAAATCCTGTATAGTACTAAGTTTAAATCTTAATAGCATATAACATTCAACAGTTGATATTACAGTCAATTAAGATAACTATCAACTAGATCCATTATTCTAGAAATTGACACCAGCAGTGACAAGATAAGTATCAACAACAGAACCACAGTATATATAAACATGCTTAGTTTCGGTAAAACCGGTATACTATTACGTGTAAATCTTAATAGTTTTCAATAGCCAAACGTTGATAGTACAGGTATTAAAGTAAATATCAACTAAGTTCATATTCAACAATTTATGCAAACTGTAATCATGAAAACATCAAAACAGAGTTACAGTGGGTATATAGACATGCTTATCCTATAGTGCTCCCGGAATCCAGTAATGCTAAGTTTGATTTAAAACCTAGATCACTCGATACCAACTCATCCAAAATAACTATAAGTCAAGTACATGATCA